TCTGGCAACATAATCAGTGGTGTACAAATGCTAAAAAGAAATCTCCACATGACATGGAAATAAATAAGGGGTCATATATAAATAGAAAGTAATTTATATGTTTTGAGAAAAAAAATTGAGACTTTTTACTCATTGCTTTAAAAATTATGAGTAGGAAAAATAAATTATTTTAAACACAGCAAAGAGTATGTTTTAATATTATAAACAATTAAAATAGGATAGTATATAAGACCCCATCCGAATCTCAGATTTAATCATTCTATGACCTAAAAATGGAAAGGCAGGGCAGATGAAGAGAGTAAAAAAAAAATATATAGATAAGTAAAATGAAACAACTATACAGAAATGCCCTCCCCCAAACAGCGCGACTAACATGGAGCTGACACACAGTGACCTTCAGGAGGGGACAGACACATGCGGACCTCATCAGGGAGGGCTTCCTCCTCACAACTGTGCTGGAATGTAGGTCTAACATTGGTGTCCGGATGTCTGCTGGCCTCTGAGTGTATGTACTTCTTCTAACGACTTTTTAAATCATGTTTCCCTAGCGAGACTGGACTGACTTGAGAACCTGTGGCCACATGCCTGCTTTAGTTTATGGCCCAAGTTGGATTAAAACTTTGTTACTAAAAAACTCCCAATTTTATAGTTCCTCTTCTGAATCTTGATCATACATTTCCTGAGGCTGTCTCTTAATCTTGATCACCAAATCAATGGCTAAAATTTTTGCCAAACACTGAAGAACTGAAGTTATTAACTGATATTTCCCAGTTACCGATTCCAAACCTGCCTGACTGCTTACCATGTGCCGATCGGCTTGCAGGGCCTGGACGGCTTTTATGTACGACTGTGGGAAACTGTAATTTCCTCTCTTGGACTTACACAGGAGTTTGGGAATGCCTAAAAGTGCATTAGCTATTAACATACTAACCATGGTGTCTTGTGATTGCTGGCATTTTTTGGCATAGTTGAGAAGATAGTAATGTAACAAGATCTCAAAATTACCCACTGGCAAAACACAACCTGCTGGTATTGATGAGAAACAGCGACTGTGGGAAGGACGCATCTCTGACGGCTTATATTCCTCAGGTAATACGCTCCTCTTTCCAGCAGTTTTTGTGACCTGTAAGTTTTCATAAGAAATTTCTACTCTAGTATTTTTTGTTGTTGAATTTGCAGAATTACTCTCAATAAATGGTTCATGGTCATCAATTATCCCGGTTTTGTTTGGAGATAACCATCTCAGTGTTTCATCTGTCTGGGATGTATCTGTTGGTGTCATTTGTGATGTGGAACACAGACTGCGTGTTTCTAACGCTACATTTGGAACTACCGAATTTGAATCTACTTTTAAATATGTTTGAGCTTCTGCCAGTTCATCTTTGTTCTTTACAACTCTGTCCTGATATGGCCTTTGTATTGAGCCATTAACAGTTTCTGGTAACTGATTACTTTCTTTACTATTCTTGTAAACAGAAGGACTTGGTGTATAATTTTGGTCACTGGCTCGTGTCATGTAACTTAGACCATGGTCTTTAAATAACTGACAAAGCATTTTAAATGCTCCATGCAAAGCATGCTCCTGTTGCTCAATAAGGCCCTGCACTGGTGCACAAAGAACTATACAGTGTGGTATAAACGAGCATGTGCTAATCAAGCCAAGGTGAACATACCTTCTGGATCTAAGGGTAAGAGGTTTACAAAATTTTACCAAAGCAATGTCAGACATCTCATCACGAGAGGAGGCCTGTGGTAGCACAAAGGGAGAAAGACCAGTGACCCTCTGGATAAAAGAAACTTCTTCAGATGATAAACACTCCACCACGGATATGCCATTCAGTCCTGCATAATAAATAACCAAGTCTGGTTGTTTGACACTAGACAGAAGCAATTTTACATTCTGACTCTGTAAACGTTTCATTATTGCTTTTGTCCTCTCCATAATCCAAAACTGTGATGTGGTAAACTGTGCTTCTGAATTTATAATAAACTCTGATCCAGAAGTTGAAAAAAGAGGCTGAATGGCTTCGGTTACTATCACCATTCTTATGTCACCATCTGCTGGGCAGTACACGGAAAACTCTCTCTGAAGCACAAGCCCAGCTACGACCCTGGAAGCGGAAACCGGAAGGCCGGTGACGCCGACACACAGCTCCGCGGAACAGTCCTCTACTAACTCCAGCACCTCCGCAAACTCGGTCTCACGAGCTGTACACTTGCAACAGAAGTCACACGTCAGCTGTGAAATGAAGCTGTCATTATTTCTTCCCACTCTTCCACAAAAGTATGATTCTAAGAGCAACCCCAAAGAGCTCCTACACAATGTTCTTTCTTTAGTGGATACAGAAAAGATGGAGAGGAAGTGTTTACTTACATATTGGTCCATAACAAAGTCTAGTACGTGCGTCTGAAACGTGAGAAGAGCTTGGGAAATAAATTTCCACTGACAACAATTTTTCCAATGCCTTTCATGGGTTTGAATGTTTTGGGGAATCAAAGAATCCTGTTCTTTGCCTGTGATGGCATGAAATCCTCTGAGTAAATGGCAAAGAAAGATAATAAACGTTTTAGCACCATCTCCTGTTATTCTTAGATGACTGGAAACACATGCCACCATCATCCTGTACAAAAAAGAAAGAGAGCAACTCAGATTAAGGGAGCTGCCTTCCCACATCGGAAGCGTGTTTTTAGCTACAGGCACAAAATGAGAATACTGTCCCCTTGATGTCCCGAGTTTTCGTTTTTCCCTTTCCAAGTCACTTTGCTCTGAGGATTCCGGGGCTGGGAAGAGCAGGGCGACCAGCGGGCGGCCCTGGGCGGTCAGGCGAGAAGTCTGGAGGGGGCCCGCCGCGTCCGGTCCCCGGAGCGCAGGCCTGGACCCGGGGGCTCGGAGGCGGGACGGGCACCCGGCGGGGGCGTGCGGGACCTGAGTACCTGGCCACAGGGTGCTCCAAGTGCAGCGCCTCCAGGAGGCGGCCTCCATCCCGGCTGAGCAGCACCTCGCCGGTAGGCTTCGTACACAGAACCTGCCGCCCCTCGGGCCCCACGCAGCAGCTCACGATGGTTTCCAGCACCTCCGCCACCCGCAGCGCCGCCTTGAGGGAGCCCGCGGCAGCCATGCCCGCTAAGCCCCCAGTACTCCGCCTCCCGCCGCCCCCGGCCGCGGGCACTAGGGCCGACGGAGCGGAAGGGGCGGGGAGGAGGCCGGAAGCGCGGGCGGCTGGGGGCCGGGGGGCGCGTGCCTGTATGCAGCCCGGCCGAGAGGCGCGGCGCCCGCGGAGGTCGAACCCAGGGCTTCCCGGGGGCTGCCCCTGGAAGCGAACCGCAAGCCCTTCTGCATCTGCCTCGGTGAATTCAGCTCTTCCCGGGATCTCTGCTCCTACCGGATTCCCCTGTCTCCCAGGAACTTACTTTCGGCGCAAAAGGGGAGCCCCGGAGAACGTGGGAATGGGCTCCCCGGGGGAACTCGGTTCGCTCCCGCCCCCTGAGAAGTTGCTCGATGTTTCGTAGCAAAACCTCAGCCTTGGGCTCCTGCATTGACCGCCCACCCTCCACCTGCTGCTCTCCTTCCTATCAGGCAAGCAGTTTCGGAGGCAGGACAGATAGGGAGGACTTGACTCTGGCCACCTGAGGCCTTCTGCTTCCCGCAGGGGGCTTTGCTACATCTCCTGGGCCCGGGCATCACTGTGAAACCCTAACCATCAGTTTTTCTTTTCCTTTAGTAGAGATGATAGATGTGAGGACTTAGCCATATTGGTGATCAATTGTATGCTTTAAACACACAATGCCCCAAGATCACTGGATAAAATCCTACGGCAGAAAAAATGACCTATTAGGCAGAAAGAACATTGTTCATCTATTAAAACACATGCACTCTCTCAAGGAGAAAATGGTTAGGAGCATGGTCTTACGATTTAGATGTGAGTTTTCTTTGCCATTTGCTCATCTGTAACATTGAGCAAGTAACCTGTTTCCACTTTTCTCATCTTAAATAAAATGGTGATAATGGGTATGTAAAAGAAAAATCTCACAAGGTTTTGAGGAGAGTATTTACAAAGCACTTTTCTTGCATGGTGCTCAGCATATACTAAACACTCAAATATTTATAGCATAGCCACTAAATCACTACATGTCATCAGTGTACAGGCCCACTGTCTCCAAAGGAAAGGGATGTTTTGTACGGTGCAGAAGAGTCGATTAGCATAACAGGAAACCTATTAAAAGTGTGGTCAATATCAGTAAGAAAATTACCTTGTACTTCGTTGAGGTTGAGCAATGAGGGGCTGTTTTCCTTACCCCCTTGCTCCTATGCATAGGACAGGAGAAACCTGTAAGTCTTCGCCCTCCCTCCCTCCCAGTTAATAGGGCAAAGCCAGGTGACTTCAGCTAGAAGCCGCTGGCTCTGCGGGAGGAACACAGGGACCCGGGGAGGAAGAAGAATTTCTTGGGAGTTCATCAGATGCCCACTCAGCAGGGGCGAAGGTCATGTGAGGGGCAAAAACTTAATAGGTCTTGTATATATGCTTGTTGAATAGTAAAGTTTGTTTTGTTCTGGTTCTACCTCTCATAAAGGGGCTACATAATTCAAAATAGATTACAGCAGTGGATTATTCCAAGCATTTAAAAGTGCTACAATCAGAGTTCTGGTTAAGTGTACAGCTTTAAAAGAATGGACACTGAAGTCAGACACGGATTCAAATATGTGCTTGTTACCACTCTTACTATGTAACTTTTGGAATCATTTAGCTTCTCAGTGCCTCAGATTCTTCATCTATAAAATTGGGCTAACTTCCACTCATCTTTAAGGTTATTATGAGTATTCAAGAATGAACACACAGCACCCAGGTAAAGCATACATTAGGGATTTTAACTGTTAAATCCCTTCCAATTCCTTACCCATCCTCATAACTACCCCTACAGAATAATTATTTTAATTTAAAAATTAGGACTGAGTAATTTAGTCACCATGTTATATTCAAAGTCATTTGATCACAGTTTGCTTCTTTTTAAAAAATTTTATTTAGAAAGCCTACTTGTAGAAGTTAGCAGAATTTTACAGACTGTTAGAAAAACTCTTATCTTTTTTGTCTCTGCAAACATTTATGTTAGGAATAATAGGTTAGAAATGTAACACATTACAAAACAGTAGCCTATGACTATCTGTACATCTACTATGGACCTTAAGGAAAAGATTTTGACAGTGCTCTATACTTACACTGTGGATAACATACTATTATTCTATAATACAAAACTGACCAGTGGTAGTGTTTGAATTTATAAATGGCCATTAAAAGGATATTTAACTCAGATGTATATTTAGGCTAAAAAGTGAGAAAAAATTTCAACTTAAGTTCTGTGGCTCATCAGTTCAAATGTTCCCTGGCATTTTCTTTAAATAAATGTCAATATTGTAATAGTAAAATAATTTTACATGATAAATGCAAAAAGACAAAATTTTCTAGATATTTCAGGAAGTATATTCACATTCATTTTGTCATGGGTTTCTTGTGGCTCTTCTATGTTAATCATATTAGGGAGACACTGGTCCTATACAATTTTAACAGTCCATCTTCAATTAAAAACTAACAAACAGTATGTTAAGAGTAATAAAAGGTAAATTAAGTACACTAAATTCACACTGTAGGTAAACAAAATGAAACAAATTATGTAGTAATGGCAGTTTATGCAGTTTAAAGAATCTTTTTTTCCATGCAAATAAAATAGAAGTTGAAATGTAAATGTAGTGATTTGGGTGGAGTTTCCCCCAACTGGTTCAAATTGGAAAATTTGGTATGGATGTGAATTTTAATATTTTATTTCTATACATTTAATATAATTCAGATAACCTGCGGCATCATGCATAGCCTCATCAATGATGCCATATCACTGTATGTCAAACAAAAAAACCCAAAATATATTCATTGCTCACTAGAAATGCTAAACACTGGAAATAATGGAATCTGATACATTTGTTTTCTTAAATATTTAAGATATTCTTCAAAAGGTTAAAACTGCCTTCCACAGATTTTTGTGTACATGGCATAAATTGACACCCCAAACAGTGTGAATTCCATCAAAAAGGCACTGTTTACAATACTGAGAATAATCTGACAAGTCTACCTCAATGGTGTCTGAAAGTGAAGAATATATTTGACATAGATAAACAGACAAACCCTTATAAAAGTACATCATTACTGTTTAAATATACTGTAGCTATATAAAAGGAAATAAAGTGACACAGAGAAATGACCCTTTTATGACAATTAAACCTATGAACACTCTGAATCACATTATAGTCTGTAACACAAATGTGACAAAAGTATATTCTTAAAGGCACAGAAGCATGAATACTAAATGAGGGCTGCATTTTACAACGGAATGGTGACAAAGATTACACTGTACCTTTATAAGTGATACAAAAAAGTACTGAGGTGAAGTATAAGTAAAACATCTATTGCTGAAACTTACTTTGCATGTCCTTTTTACTGTCTTTTCCTGGGCCAGCTACATCTAACTAAATGGTGGATAACTGAAGGCATAATACATTTAACAACTAAGACAAATGCACATGTCGACAAAGTGACTCATCTAACATCTCATATGAAAAAATAAAATTTCTGATCAAATGAAAAAAACTTGTCATAAGGTCTTAAATATCCTAGAAACCATCAAAAGGCTCTCAGACAACTGGGAACTGAAAATCACAATTTTATGAATCCACATATGAAGGAAGATTAATCTCAGGTAGAGAACAAAGTCAATTACATATATGGCTACATACAAAGTTAGTTATATGTTTTAATTCACACACTAAGCCTAGTAAAAGCACTGATCTAAAAGTAAGCCACCAATTCCTGAGTTTTGTGTTCAGTTCACAGAAAGGAACTCATACAGCTAAAAGCCTAAGGGGATTATTACATAAGATACATGCTTTTAGTGTATAAGAAACAGTCATGAGCAGCCCTGCTCTTTCTTTCTCATGGGATAGTTACTGATTCCTTGGGTAACAGGAACCCATAACATCTGCCCTAAAAAGAAAATAACTACTTTTCCAGTCTTGGAAGATACCCATACAAATAAAACACTAGTTAGACGAAATGAAAATAACACACAAGTGAATAAGACTAAAACCCCATAGGAGGTTTACCAACAAAAATATTTTAGGTTTTCTGGGCTAATGATGAAGTAATTTTTGTTATCAACCAATCAATCTATATATAATATAAATTAATATGAATTTAAAACCTTTAAAAAGAACCAAATTGTACAATATTTACAAAATATGTCAATTCATAGGCAGGTGAGCATAACATTGGTAAGAAAGCACAAGATTATATTGACAAGTATGAGATAACAAGAAAGCCCCACCTGCTCTTGTGTAATCATATTATACCTGTCCTTCCACTAGGTACACATACATCGTATTTACATTTTCATCAACTCAAAACATGCTTTCACATGTACATTTGGAATACAGCATTATTTTGTGAAAAATACATAGGAAATAAATAGTTCTTCATAAAACCCAAAGATACTTAAGATAGCTATACTGGGGGGAAAAGAAGAGGCTCTTTTTGTCATTTTCAATTTTCATAATTTAGCGGTCACTCCTTGATTTTGTATTTATCATGGCACAGATAGCTGACTGTAATTTTGCTAGGGTCTTGCAGTCTCTCAGCCAAAGGCAAATGTAGCCTCAGCAATTATTCTCTCTGACCTTCTTTTCATCAATGACATTTTAAAATCTGTATTTTCAGGACTCTAAGATACACCTTGGGACATGTTCTAAGCCTAACTACATTTGCAAAAATTGCTTTTGAGAATTATAAATATTTATTTAAAAACACAAAGTAAAAACATCAAATTGAGAAAATTCACGAAAAGCTTGTCTCGGCCTGAGCGGAAGGGAACCTTGAAGAACTGTAGTTTTGCCACAGGATGAAGCTGCCAAGAACCAAGGATGACAAAGGAACTTCAGAACTTGACGCTCTTCTTACAAGCTCAACTTATTGCACATTTTAAAGAAATTTTAACAGAAATGCCACCACACTAAGCGTTTTTTCTTATTGCCTATCTCATATTTGGCTTTTGAAGTAAAATAAAATATTGGTTGTAATTTTTTCTATTCTACGTTATTTACTGAACACACTAGGGTCTAAATAAGTGCTAAAATAAGTTTTTCATAATGAAAAAACATGTATTATCAGCATTCTATATGTCCTATAGACTTTCTAGAATTTGACCTATATTATTCGACCAACTACATTAAAAAAAAAAAAGAAGATAGGAGAGCAATCAATTTTGACCACACGTTTTTCAAGCAAGTGTTGAAGGTGTTATTACATAGGTATGATATGAAAGATAATCAATAGATCCAAGTAGTTGCATACCAGTTTTTTATGTTGATATACCCATATGCACATTTATATCTATATCTATAAATATTCAATTCTAGGGGTTAAAAATATCTTGTGTGAATTTTTTAAAAAGCAATTTGCCACCATGTCTCTCTCAATATGTTAATTTTGACCACACTTTTTTCTTGCTGTTTCTAAGGAGACAATTGAGCTAGGTGCTTTGGAAATGATTTTTTTTAACTATAGAATATTGAACTGTTTATAATATCTGTTATCCCACCATTTTCCATTCTATCATTCCTTATTGATAAAAGTTTTATGCCTGTTTAATGAAGAAAATAGATAACATATTTATAAGATTGATAGCATTTTTGTTATGAACAAAGTTAATGTTAAATCTCAGAACATACTATAGAATACAATGACTACTGTCAGGTACACATAAGACACAACTGTGTCTACATGTGGATTATATTCACATGTAGACACATTGTCACAAAAGCTAGATATGTTCTGGCACTTAACACATAGCTCACTTTAATAACCAAATAGAGTAGCTCTTGTTTCAGGTTAAGGATAAACAGTATGAAAGGTCAACACCTCTACATTTATCTTGAAGGTAGTTTTAGAAATATTGTGATATTTTAACAGAGACCAAACCAACTTGAATATTGGTTCCAGGCCAAATCCAATTATTCCAGTTCACTGATTCAATTGTAAAGAACTTTTACTTAAACATGAAGTTTATTATGACTTGAAGCAAAATCAGGAGGAAAATGATGAAGTAGTCTTTTTGTTGCAGAAAATAATCCGTGGCAGGTGTGCTTGAAAGTAAATGATTTCGAAGAGCCATAATATTTCTACGAAAATAAGCAACAATAAATTTTATAATTACTTGTCAAAAACATTAGCACAGAACTCAAAATTTGATACATGTTCACAGAGCATTTAATTATACATTATGTAAAGTCACTAGTTAATTGGTTACTGCTACCTAATCAGGAAGCTGATTATGCCATGTGGAGCCACTATTAGGTCTTGCCTAAATCTACATTCCACATTGTACCAAATGTATTACTTAATGATGTGCAGCAAGCATAATTATTAAAGTCTAATAGTATAGAAATATATTACCTTCTCTGTTATCACAGTGGTTTTAGAACAAAAATTTTAATTCTTAGTTGGCTGGGTAAGGTTCTTTTATCTTTACTTTAAAGGAGATAGAGGTGGGGTTAGAGAAGAATCCTAAATTCCCCAGGAAAAAATAATTAATACTACAGATTTGATGACATTCAAAACTTGAAGAATGCTCTATGGTATTTCATATATTACCAAAATTTAGTCATAAAATGAGCCTACATAATGCTTATGCCACCCTAAATGTTTTTGGCTAAAAAGAGCTGATTAATAAAAAGCTTGTCTTTTTTAGACGTCCATTAAAGTGTTTTGCCAGCATAAGGAAAGAAAGATAGACAAAACAAAGAAGAAAGCTCATTAATTTACAAATATAATTAAATTAGGAAACTGGAGCACTTTATATGAGGTCTGATGATACCAAAATGCAGAAGGCACGTACTCTGCTCTAAGGTTGCTCAGGGTTTACTGCAAGGTAAACTAACACCTCTGCAGTCTAGTCAGGAGTATGTATATAGGGAGCTAGGCAACCTGAGTATATTGGAGGGATTATAACTCTATAGGGCAAGGTGAGTGATTAGAAATGTTACAATAAGGATGGCAATTAGAGTTACATTCTGAAAGATAAACAGGGATTTTCCTGATGGGCAGGGTGAGCAAAAAGGGGCAATCTAAAAAGTGATTCAAGTGTGGGCAACGATCCAAAGATCAGGGAGCACAGCTTATTCTGGAGATGTGAGAAATTTCATAGGAAGAGAGCATGGGGTGGGCATACGGGAACAGCAGGCGCTGAGGCAACAGCTGAAAATAGCAACTCAATGTAAGTCATAGGTTCACCAAGAACAGAGAAAAGTATCTTAAAAAAAAAATCCCCTGGGATATCTGGCACTGAGAGCTGACCCAGTGGCAGGGTGGCTAACAGTAAAGACTCTACGTCTGATAGAGCGATGAGAGGCCACCGATCGGGAACTTTGCTAGTAATGGGGAAGGGCATGGGACATGAAGGGGGTCCACTCAAAGGCCTCAGAGTAGCAGCTACTGACCCATTCTAGCAAGTACTTCAAAATTTCAACCATATGGTCCAATTCAATGTGAGTCGCATACAAAGGGTGCAGCACAGCCTTTGCTAACTTGCTTTCTCAGAAGCCTGCCCACCTCCTCACCCACCCCAGCTACTGCTTATGCTACAAGCAGTAAGATCAAGACTCCAATTCTACCCTCACAAAGGAGAAAAAATAACTGCCCCAAACAATATTTCAGTGAAGTAATTTAAAGTTTCAGTCATCAGGTGATAGAAGCTCAAGTTCCATTTTAGCTTAGCAATGTCAGAAAAATGTAAAATTTGCATACGATTTCATATGTAACAGAATTTCTAACTACTCCTCTGGACTCAAATGCCTAGTCACTGTCAGTATATATTACCTTTTAATTTCTTCCTGGGTTTGTTTTATAGACTCGATGGAATTCTGAATGTCTCCCAGTTCTATCCCTTTCTTTCTTCTTGTACTTGGCTTTAGTGACTGAGCTAAAAAGATATTTAAATGAAGTTGGTGAAAATAATGAACACATTTAATTATAAACAATCTACATTTCAGCTTAATGTTCTCATTTAGTAAAATTTTCCTAGGCATTATTTTTATGGTTTAGAGATGAATATAATATTAATACCCAGCATTTTTGAAGTTTCAATCATAGGTCAAAACTAGAACAGTACAGATATATTCAAAGTAACCATGAATTGGTTCAATTATGGATGGCATCAGTTTTATTTTGACTAATTAAAATAGACAAAAATAGTTCATTAAAAATATGTATGTTAATTTGAAGAAGGTATTATTCTCCTCTGTCTCTTGCCTAACTTGCTTTCTCAGAAGCCTGCCCACCTCCTCACCCACCCCAGCTACTGCTTATGCTACAAGCAGTAAGATCAAGACTCCAATTCTACCCTCACAAAGGAGAAAAAATAACTGCCCCAAACAATATTTCAGTGAAGTAATTTAAAGTTTCAGTCATCAGGTGATAGAAGCTCAAGTTCCATTTTAGCTTAGCAATGTCAGAAAAATGTAAAATTTGCATACGATTTCATATGTAACAGAATTTCTAACTACTCCTCTGGACTCAAATGCCTAGTCACTGTCAGTATATATTACCTTTTAATTTCTTCCTGGGTTTGTTTTATAGACTCGATGGAATTCTGAATGTCTCCCAGTTCTATCCCTTTCTTTCTTCTTGTACTTGGCTTTAGTGACTGAGCTAAAAGATATTTAAATGAAGTTGGTGAAAATAATGAACACATTTAATTATAAACAATCTACATTTCAGCTTAATGTTCTCATTTAGTAAAATTTTCCTAGGCATTATTTTTATGGTTTAGAGATGAATATAATATTAATACCCAGCATTTTTGAAGTTTCAATCATAGGTCAAAACTAGAACAGTACAGATATATTCAAAGTAACCATGAATTGGTTCAATTATGGATGGCATCAGTTTTATTTTGACTAATTAAAATAGACAAAAATAGTTCATTAAAAATATGTATGTTAATTTGAAGAAGGTATTATTCTCCTCTGTCTCTTGCCTACACTTGAGGAAGTCAGCTTTTTGAGCTCCCTTTTCAGTTTTTTCCTTAATTGTCAGTTCCTTCATCCCTCTAGCCACCCGACCTTTAAACCTTTTCATGTGGTTCTGATGCCACTTCTACAAATTTTTGTTGACCAGCAAACTGGTATATTTCTCACATCCCTCTTATACCCACTCCCTTCCTCATTTCCCATGCATTTACCCAGCAACCTGGTCTTGCAATTTATCTATGATCCAAAGCAGTTTTTTCTGCATGCCATGCCTACCCCACCCAAATTCTTACATTATCTTTTTGAGTTAATATGAAAACACAGTGTATTAGTTTTTGTTTATCAAACACAGTGTACAAGTATCCTTTTAAAAATTTAGACTTTTATATTGAATAGTGAATAGTCTGCAATATGTATTTCTACCTTCACTTCCAGATGAGTCCTGAATATCAGGTTCTGGGGAGGAATAGCCCTTTGCCACCTTCTTCTGTTGCCTGGTTGGCTTATGTTTCATTTTTGGGACACTAACCTGAAAAAAATCATGCTATTATGTGAATTTGCACTGAATTTATAAAGACCAATATTGCATGACTGTCAAAACTATCTCTTTGTGGGTATAATACTAAGAAATAAAAGCAAATATGAAATACTTGAATTAAATCTTAAGATGTGATACATTTAAACTATTTAATTTTAATAAGAAACATTCATTTGGCACAAACATCAAAAAGTATAAAAAAATGCAATGAAGAGTTTCCCTCCTACTCCTGATCCCTGTCCAGCTCATCTGTCCCCCACTAAATCGATACTCACTGCTGTTCGTTTGCATATTCTTCAAGGGACATTTTATGTACACACAAATATGAGTACAGATACAACCACCCACTGTTCTAACTGCAGCAGCAAGTACCTCTAGTTGAATGTTAAATAATAGCATTCTTTTTAAATCATATTTATGGTGTTCCCGATATCAGAAACCTTCCACAGAATGATTTTGGGTTTCCAATAAATTTACTTAATTATTTACTTTTAATACTATCTGGATATGTACAAAGATCTTATAATAAATGGAAATGACATTTGGCAGAGCATGATTCAAACTTACTGAATGCAATTGAGCGCATGAATAAGATTCAAAAGTATGTCAAACCATAAATTAGGACTAAATTTTCCTTACGATAATATACTTTAGACTTTTATACTATTAACAGGCTTTAAAACTTGGAATTAGGCCCTAAATTTAAAAACCTAAATGCAAGAGAAAAAATGAGAATCAGAAGAGCAAGCTAATTTAAGTGCTTAGAAAAACAAGGAACAGTCACTCTAAGTCTTTATTCTAATCCATTTACTGCTCTAAATAGGAATTACCACCAATTACCTGTTCACTGAGGGTACAAGAGCCTGGAGCTGCCTACTTTGCTCACTCAAAAATTTAAAATTTGAAACAAATTTTAAAGTGTTGGTTGCCAAGGATACTAAGGATTTAAAATATTTATATGCCTAACAGATGCGGTCATTTTCTATTACCTACCATGGGAGTGCGGTGCTTCACTTTGGTCTGGATGACACCATCTTTTTCGAACTGTATCATATCATTAAGTGGGTCCCATGGTCGAGTACTACACAAATAAATAATAAAGAAAAATCCACCTGTTTAATGACTAAATGAAACATTCAAAAACCTTTCTAAAACTTTCCATTCTACAGTGAGATTTTCATTAGGCCTAGCTGTAAGGCAGATCTGCCACATCTAATCCTCTGGTCCTCGGCTTGTTTCATAGGCTGCATGGGGTCAAATTTATAATAGATGGGACACCAAGTTTAAAACTTCACACTAATTTATGTATATATGGCTTAATAAAAAAACTACTCCAATAATAACAAAGCAAAGCTGAAGGAACAAAATAGCAGCAGACTTACAAACCCCAAGAAGGGACTAGACTAGCGGCTACCAAAGGGGAGGGGTGGGGGAGGGTGGGGAGGGAGGGAGGGAGAAGGGGATTGAGGGGTATTATGATTGGTACACATGGTGTGTATAGGGCTCATGGGGAAGACAGCGCAGCACAGAGAAGGCAAGTAGTGACTCTGTGGCATCTTACTACACTGATGGACAGTGACTGTAATGGGGTATGGGGGAAAGGAACTCAATAATATGCGTGAATATAATAACTAGAATGTTTTTCATGTGAAACCTTCATAAGTGTGTATATCAATGATACCTTAATAATTTAAAAAAACTACTACAACTAACAATAAAAATTCTAGAAATGCAAAAAACAATGCTGATATACTATTAATAAAATACTCTTTCTAATTACTTACTCTGCAAACCTGTAGTGCCATTCTCCTGTGAGTGGATCAAGCTCAAATAACTTGCACATCCACTCTTCATTTTTTGTTTTCCGATGTCTGGCAGCTTGTCTTTGAGCTTCTTCTAAAACATACTTCTCTTGAGTGGCTTCTGTTTGGTCTTTGGCATTAATCGCTCTAGTGACCCGCTGCCAGAGTCTGATTCATGTAAAAAAACAGTATTAAAAAAACAACAGAAAATCAAATCTACATAGAATGTTTGAATCCCCTTGAGAGAAAATGATGTCCATGTGGGCTTTTGGCTTTGATAAAGCTTATGCTTGGATGCTTAGAAATGAGTCAAGATATAAAAGGTGGTGCCCTGAGATAAATCCATTACATGGGCTCTTAAACAAATGGCAATGAATAGTGCTGACCTGAGATGACAGGAATGCAATGAGGGCTCAGAATGTGCACTTTGAGCAAGCTCTCCAGATGGTAGTTATACATACTGTTTAAACCCACTGGCCTCAAAGATCCGATGCTGTAGTGCCATGGTTCTCATGAGTTACCAGGGAAATTCTGATTTAAAAATAAGAATTTCTGTGGGTGGGCCCAAATATTTTTTAAAAATGTTTTCCAGGCGATTTTAATGTGCAACCAGTGCTGAGAAGCATTAATTTAAAAAAAGGCTACTAAGGTAAAATCTTTTCCCCTACTAAATTCAGTTTTTTATCAAATAAAGAATATCTATATGTTCCACTCATCTGGGAAGATAGCGATTTAGAACTGAAAGAACAAAGGCTTTGGAATCTGAGAGACTTGGGTTAAGTCCTAGATCTGCCACTGTTTTGGCCAGTGAACTTAAAGTAATTTATCCTAAGACTCATTTTCTTCATCTTTAAAACATATTAAGCCATATTTGCACCTCAAAAATTGCTGTATGCCTTGCCACAGCTTCGCTCTGGACAGACAGCATCATGTGGTTATAGCTGAAACAGCATTTTTAGAACTGCTGCATAGGCTTCCATTTTTGACAAGCTCAATTCTGAGTGAAGGAAAGTACACACAGATCTGAGTCTGAGAGAGAATGATGAGCACGTGGGAGTACGTAGTGCAGACTGAACTGCCTCACAGTGTTATTACCCAACAAATGTAATTCCTCCAGAAACCTGCACACCATGTGGCTTTACTCTTGTGTTTTAGAAAATGAAACAGAAGTAAGTTTTGTACCATTCCCTTCTACATGCCTAATCCAGGTTAGAAAACAGCTGCCAGATAAACATCAACAAACATTAATTAGTCCCATAATTTAAAACAAGCAAAATAGAAGTTTTATTTTTTTTAAAAAATACACTCTGGCACAGTTAAGAAAAAGAAAGAAAATGGGTAGTTTTAGCTCAGAGCTATAGAAAAACCACTATTTGTATTATATTTGACATTCACATAGCCTAAAAAAGAACCTGTCACATCCCACAAATGTTAAAGTATTTTGAAGAATTAAAATACGACTGAAAGGTAACAGAGAAAACTGACATTACTGAGGGATATAAAAATACTCTCTGATCTTCATGAAATTAGCTGGAAAATGGTATACTTACTTCTCTGATTCAAAATCTCCCTGTTCTTCAAATTTCACAGTGTGTCTTATTAATCTCCATTGCTTAATGTCTGGTGTTGGATTCCAGAAAACCTCTGAATTATCAGTCTTTTTGTCATTAATAAAAACTTCACTATCCTATATTTTAAGAAATTAAAAATTAAGGTAGAGAATTACCTTATTGAAAAGGGAATTATATAGTATAATAATATAATTCTTTCCTCCTGAAACTTGATCCCATAGTTAAACACATTTTTAAAACAAATATAATTAGCACTTTTTCTAAAAGCCCCACATCTCTTGTCATTTTTATAAAAACTTTAGATTAAATATGTAGCTACTAGTCTTTTTAATATTTGGTTGAATACCACAGTAAGTTTGGAGGTTTCAGAAGTTTTTCAAACAGTTATATGCAAACCCTCAGTAACCTTTGACTTGTGAAAGTGGGGCACAGTATCTCCTACAGACAATGAGATACTGTTGACTATACACATGGTTAGTATGTAGAAAAACCGAAAAGAGCCTTTCTTAGTATTAAACATTTAAGCACAATTTAGAAATTTCACTAAAAAAAGTTTTATCTTTGTTCTAAATGATATTTAGGTAGAAGTAAATTTTAGAAACTACAGAGGATATGTGGCCTCTTAGTTAAGTTTCTAGATCCAGTTTTATTTTCTCCTCATATTTCTCATCACTTTCTACTAATTGTAAATGCAGAAAATGGCATATATTCAAGGGTTCACTGTGAAAGTGCATCTAGGCAGTAGCATGATATGATCCTTTTTTTTCACTTAAGATCCTCTTACCAAATTACATGAATGTGAATTTAGGCCGGCAGAGAAAAAAATAAGAGCCACTGCTCTTCAATACTACTATATCCTTTGCCTATTCTTCAGAAAAAAATATAACTCTAATTGGAAATGCCTCTTCCTTCCAGCTCGGGGGCAACATACTGCTGTATGTGAAAGCACAACCCTGGAGCCAGAGCGTCTGGCTGCAATTCCTGCCCCACCACTCTGAGTGAAGCATTCACACTGTGGGTGCCCCGGTTTGCACCGCTGTGAAACGGGCACAGGAGCCGTCAGCAACCCCCCTCATGGCATCATTAAATATTAATATGGGTAACGTTTTGAAACAGTGCAGGACACAGTAAGTGACACACAGGTGTCGGCTGTTCCTACTGACTTAAAGTTTTGAAATAATAAAAAAGATTACATAGAACTAAATATGTTGATAACAGATCAACACCAAAATCTTTGTTAAGCTGAAGCTTATGTTGAATAGTAATGCTTTTAGTAATGGAATAAGTGGACTTAACAAAATGTGATATTTAATTTTTTCCCACAGAATAGAATTCTTTTTGTTAAACTAAAATATAAAAATACTTACCCAATGGCCTTCCAAAGTAGCTAGGACTTCTTTTCCCAATTTAAGTTTCCCTGATATTTGATTAACACAGTCACTACTACCTAGAAATGGCTTTTAAAAGAGAAAATGTTGAAGAAACATTTTATTTTTAACATATTTACATACATATGCCTTATTAATCTCCATTGGTTAATGTCTGGTATTGAATTCCAGAAAACCTCTGAATTATCAACAAAAAAGTACTTGCATACTGAGAGTGCTGTTGAAGGCACAAAGTGAAATACTGATTCAATTTTTAGTCAAATATGCAATAAAAAGAAATCTGAATTTGTTGCTGTGGGGAAAAAAATAGGTAGCAATAAACAGACTGTGTTAAGTCCAAATAAGTATATTGAGAAAGATCATACTGATATAAGTGACTCATGTCCTGTGCTTTCTCCTGACTCAAATCAACTTTATCAACATATTAAGCAGTAACAATTCAGTAAACCTAAGGGATTTAACTCACCTACTGAAAGAAAAACACCCCCTCCTTCAAAACAAAAAGTAAAATACCCAAGCAAAATATCCTCCAAAATTAAACAGAAAGATACACTTTGAGTTACTACATTGCCTTACTGATACCTCTTCTCAGTGACAAAATTTTGATGCTATAATTTAATCCTTAAAGGTGTCACAAATCACTTAAAATCTTTTTAGTCATGATTTTCAAGTATCATCATTACCATACAAACAAAAAATTTTCCAAGATGACAGAAAAACAAAGGGCACTTCATGAAGTACTTCTTAAAAGCAATCCTTTTTATTAGAGCAAAATTGCTGATCAGCTGGATATCAATACAGGAGAAATTTAATAATAATTAAATAGCTCAAAAATATTTTTATCTGAATAAACTGTCCTACAGTCCTAAATTTAAAGGTCTTAAATTTCCCTTCACTCTGAGACAGACAGAACTTCCCAAAGACGACCTCAGTAGTACCTACCCTCCCCCTCCAGCCCACATGCTCTTTCTGAACGAGACCTTGTCGTCCTCCCATTCAGACATCAGACTTACGTACTCTCCTTGAATTTGGGTGGGTTTGTAACTCTTGAATTAATAGAGGAGGTGGAAGTGATGTAGTCTGACTTCTGAGGCTGTCACGGACAGCGATGCAGCTTCTGCCTTGCTCACAAACACACTTGCACTGGGAACTCTAAGCTGCCAAGTACAAAGTCTGACTCCCTTGAAGCCGCCATGTTGCGAGGAAGCCAAGCCCCATGGCAAGGCCATGTATACAGGTGCTCAGATCAACAGTCCTCGCTGGTCTTTCTGTCATCCCAGCCCAGGCATACACATGTAGGCAATAAGCCTTCAGATGATTCCAGGCCCCAGCTGTTGAGTCACTAGAAGCATGCAAGTCTTTCTAACTTAAGCCCCAGACATTAGGTAGCAGAGACAAGCCATTCCTAATATGCGCTGTCCAAATTCCCAATCCACAGGACCCCCAGTGGATTAGAACATTGTTGTTTTTAAGCTTGTAAGTTTTAGAGTAAATTGTGAGGCAGAAGTAGTAATTAGTACAACTCTGTCTTAATGTACATAACTCAAGCTGATACATACTTTGTGGTATTTTGTAAAGCAATGCTGTAAGTTACTGAGAAATTTCTATTCATTCACTTCTTAAATCTTATCTCCTATACAATATCAATAGTCTTATTAAATAAAATTAAAAACAAAAAATGATGACTGTGTTGATTTGGATCTTTCAAGGCTACCCTTTCACAAATTCAGTGTTCTTTATTTAGTCATTAATTAGAACTAAACTGTGTTGTTTGTTCAATATTTATAGCATAGCTCCTCTTTAATTAGGTCACATCTCCTATCATTCTTTACTAACCTTTAGTTTGAATTCAAGTATTGCACTATATCCAGTTTTTTGACATGTAATATTGACTGTTCCACCAAGCTCCAGTGTCATTGTACCATAAAGAATTCCTAAAGAAAAAAGCAATTTTGACAAAATGTTGAAGAGAGATAAACTGGCTAATAACAAGTAGAACCATATAATCTGATCTCTTTCTAGGAAAAGCTAAAACTTTAAGGGTATTCTGTCCAACCCAATAACAATCTATAAATATATATGTAAAGTTGATTCTGAAGGACTTAAATAGCCAACAGCTGATGCACATCATTTGCAGATTCCATATCTACGAATTTATGTTCTCACTAAAATATATTAGTAACTCAAAGTCAATATCCATGGCACTTTTGCAGTCACTCAGGGACAGGAGCTACTGAGCAGTGAGAAGGTGCCCAGCGCACAGCTGCTGGCCAGCGACTGGACAAGGCGGCACTCCGCCTTCAGTTTTCATCTCTCACATGGTAAACCAGAGTCTTTTTGCAGAGTACTTAGTGCCATCTCATTTACATTTTTGTGCTTTTTTTGTTGGCAATTTTACTGTTTCAAATGGTCTCCAAATGTAGTGCTAAAGTACTGTCTGTATTCCTACGTGCAGAAGGCTGTGATGAGCCCTTTGGAGGAAATACATTTGTTGAAGCTTGGCTCAGGCATGAATTACAGTGCTGCTGGCTGTTCCGTCAATGTCAGTGAGTCAACAGTAAATATTAAATAAGGTGTCTTTAAACAGAAACAAAGTTATGTATTAACTGGTTGATGAAACGTGACAAGAAGCTCACAGAAACCTAGCTTTGTGTCTCCCCTAGGAGCTACGGTTCAGTATTCATTAAGTTAGAGTTTGTGGTGACTCTATAGCACGTAACTACTGCAAGTAATAAGACTCAACTGTCTAAGTAAAGCAAAAAAAAAAAAAATCTCCCAAGATAGGTCCGAAGTTAAACAGGTTATGTGCATGTTGTATATTTGTTTTCTGACTAACCTGTTGCGAAAGCCTTTAATATACAAATACACAATGTTAATTTCTAAGAGGGGAACAGACTACATAATGTTTCTCATATATATTTGGCTATGAAACTATTTTGCAAAACAATTTGTGAGACTGTGATCTGTAAAACACATCTTAGGTAATACACAAAGGTAGAAAATAATCATTATTTTCTATGTTTATTCATAAGGATTTTATAATCTCTTTTCTTTCTTCCATACAATTAAAAACATTGCTATGAAAAAATGTTACCTGTTGCTAACTAGGTATATTGGGTATTTACATGAAATATCATTTTATTTATTCCAAATAATATAAATTTAAAGTATTTATCAATTCATTTAGATATTCCACTTCATGCCTATTTCAAGAACCACACATGAAGTTCTAAGAATTATCTAGCCTGAGGCTGTAAGATGGCCACGCTTGTACTTAGTACTAGGATGGCTCACAGTACAGAGGATGGGAATCAACTAGCCTAGAGTGTAGTTTCACCATTCTTATTAACTAGTGGTTTGGTCTTGGTTAAGATTCTTAATCTTCCCAGTTTTTTCAACTAAAATACTGATTCAATTTTTAGTCAAATATGCAATAAAAAGAAATCTGAATTTGTTGCTGTGGGGAAAAAAATAGGTAGCAATAAACAGACTGTGTTAAGTCCAAATAAGTATATTGAGAAAGATCATACTGATATAAGTGACTCATGTCCTGTGCTTTCTCCTGACTCAAATCAACTTTATCAACATATTAAGCAGTAACAATTCAGTAAACCTAAGGGATTTAACTCACCTACTGAAAGAAAAACACCCCCTCCTTCAAAACAAAAAGTAAAATACCCAAGCAAAATATCCTCCAAAATTAAACAGAAAGATACACTTTGAGTTACTACATTGCCTTACTGATACCTCTTCTCAGTGACAAAATTTTGATGCTATAATTTAATCCTTAAAGGTGTCACAAATCACTTAAAATCTTTTTAGTCATGATTTTCAAGTATCATCATTACCATACAAACAAAAAATTTTCCAAGATGACAGAAAAACAAAGGGCACTTCATGAAGTACTTCTTAAAAGCAATCCTTTTTATTAGAGCAAAATTGCTGATCAGCTGGATATCAATACAGGAGAAATTTAATAATAATTAAATAGCTCAAAAATATTTTTATCTGAATAAACTGTCCTACAGTCCTAAATTTAAAGGTCTTAAATTTCCCTTCACTCTGAGACAGACAGAACTTCCCAAAGACGACCTCAGTAGTACCTACCCTCCCCCTCCAGCCCACATGCTCTTTCTGAACGAGACCTTGTCGTCCTCCCATTCAGACATCAGACTTACGTACTCTCCTTGAATTTGGGTGGGTTTGTAACTCTTGAATTAATAGAGGAGGTGGAAGTGATGTAGTCTGACTTCTGAGGCTGTCACGGACAGCGATGCAGCTTCTGCCTTGCTCACAAACACACTTGCACTGGGAACTCTAAGCTGCCAAGTACAAAGTCTGACTCCCTTGAAGCCGCCATGTTGCGAGGAAGCCAAGCCCCATGGCAAGGCCATGTATACAGGTGCTCAGATCAACAGTCCTCGCTGGTCTTTCTGTCATCCCAGCCCAGGCATACACATGTAGGCAATAAGCCTTCAGATGATTCCAGGCCCCAGCTGTTGAGTCACTAGAAGCATGCAAGTCTTTCTAACTTAAGCCCCAGACATTAGGTAGCAGAGACAAGCCATTCCTAATATGCGCTGTCCAAATTCCCAATCCACAGGACCCCCAGTGGATTAGAACATTGTTGTTTTTAAGCTTGTAAGTTTTAGAGTAAATTGTGAGGCAGAAGTAGTAATTAGTACAACTCTGTCTTAATGTACATAACTCAAGCTGATACATACTTTGTGGTATTTTGTAAAGCAATGCTGTAAGTTACTGAGAAATTTCTATTCATTCACTTCTTAAATCTTATCTCCTATACAATATCAATAGTCTTATTAAATAAAATTAAAAACAAAAAATGATGACTGTGTTGATTTGGATCTTTCAAGGCTACCCTTTCACAAATTCAGTGTTCTTTATTTAGTCATTAATTAGAACTAAACTGTGTTGTTTGTTCAATATTTATAGCATAGCTCCTCTTTAATTAGGTCACATCTCCTATCATTCTTTACTAACCTTTAGTTTGAATTCAAGTATTGCACTATATCCAGTTTTTTGACATGTAATATTGACTGTTCCACCAAGCTCCAGTGTCATTGTACCATAAAGAATTCCTAAAGAAAAAAGCAATTTTGACAAAATGTTGAAGAGAGATAAACTGGCTAATAACAAGTAGAACCATATAATCTGATCTCTTTCTAGGAAAAGCTAAAACTTTAAGGGTATTCTGTCCAACCCAATAACAATCTATAAATATATATGTAAAGTTGATTCTGAAGGACTTAAATAGCCAACAGCTGATGCACATCATTTGCAGATTCCATATCTACGAATTTATGTTCTCACTAAAATATATTAGTAACTCAAAGTCAATATCCATGGCACTTTTGCAGTCACTCAGGGACAGGAGCTACTGAGCAGTGAGAAGGTGCCCAGCGCACAGCTGCTGGCCAGCGACTGGACAAGGCGGCACTCCGCCTTCAGTTTTCATCTCTCACATGGTAAACCAGAGTCTTTTTGCAGAGTACTTAGTGCCATCTCATTTACATTTTTGTGCTTTTTTTGTTGGCAATTTTACTGTTTCAAATGGTCTCCAAATGTAGTGCTAAAGTACTGTCTGTATTCCTACGTGCAGAAGGCTGTGATGAGCCCTTTGGAGGAAATACATTTGTTGAAGCTTGGCTCAGGCATGAATTACAGTGCTGCTGGCTGTTCCGTCAATGTCAGTGAGTCAACAGTAAATATTAAATAAGGTGTCTTTAAACAGAAACAAAGTTATGTATTAACTGGTTGATGAAACGTGACAAGAAGCTCACAGAAACCTAGCTTTGTGTCTCCCCTAGGAGCTACGGTTCAGTATTCATTAAGTTAGTGTTTGTGGTGACTCTATAGCACGTAACTACTGCAAGTAATAAGACTCAACTGTCTAAGTAAAGCAAAAAAAAAAAAAATCTCCCAAGATAGGTCCGAAGTTAAACAGGTTATGTGCATGTTGTATATTTGTTTTCTGACTAACCTGTTGCGAAAGCCTTTAATATACAAATACACAATGTTAATTTCTAAGAGGGGAACAGACTACATAATGTTTCTCATATATATTTGGCTATGAAACTATTTTGCAAAACAATTTGTGAGACTGTGATCTGTAAAACACATCTTAGGTAATACACAAAGGTAGAAAATAATCATTATTTTCTATGTTTATTCATAAGGATTTTATAATCTCTTTTCTTTCTTCCATACAATTAAAAACATTGCTATGAAAAAATGTTACCTGTTGCTAACTAGGTATATTGGGTATTTACATGAAATATCATTTTATTTATTCCAAATAATATAAATTTAAAGTATTTATCAATTCATTTAGATATTCCACTTCATGCCTATTTCAAGAACCACACATGAAGTTCTAAGAATTATCTAGCCTGAGGCTGTAAGATGGCCACGCTTGTACTTAGTACTAGGATGGCTCACAGTACAGAGGATGGGAATCAACTAGCCTAGAGTGTAGTTTCACCATTCTTATTAACTAGTGGTTTGGTCTTGGTTAAGATTCTTAATCTTCCCAGTTTTTTCAACTATGAAATGGGGCCATATTAAATAATTCCTGTTTTCATGAGTCAGTTCCTAAAATAGAGGGTAACTGCCCAAAAAAGTTATTTTAAGAAACTGGGTGGAAAGGAGTGACAGATAATGACCAAGCTGAGCATAAAGCTGATGCTCTACAGCACAGTAGTGCTGACTGCAGATACCTTGACTCTTAACTGTGATTCCAGACAAATTACTCTTCGTGCCTCATTTTCCTCATCCATAAAACAGAGTAACATTACCCTACTTAGGGCTGCTGGAATGATTAAGTTTATAAATGTAAAGTGTACAGAATAGTTGGATGCCTGGCCTGTCATAAATGATAGTTATTATTTAATATTTTAAATATTAATTCTGTATCATAAATAATGAGGGGAAAGCACAACATATTAGTTTTTAGGAAACTGCCAAATGAGGATGAGAAGTTTTGTAAAGACTTCGTACACTGAAAAGCAGCAAATTAAAAATTTCAAGAAGGGTGGTGGTGCAAGAAGATGAAAATCACCTTTAAGGATTCTGAAATAATGGCTAGTTTCATCAAATTATAAAGGCAAATGAAATCTCATTATTATAAATCAGCCTCGTCTAACTAAAGTATGTGTCACAAAAAGTCCATTGTAGATGAACTAATACAAAACAAAAAAATCCAGCAGATGACATCAATAATCTTAAATAACAAATTACAGCCATATACATTTACTTAAAAAGGCTTAAGAAATATCTAACCCAAGTATGGAAAATATTTACCTTTACAATGAGCATATGGCATTGTCATTACATAATCTTCACCTCTATTCAAAAAAGTTAACCGTGCTTCTCCTTCTAATATTGCAGATAATGAATTTCCTGAAATAAATGTTGTTTATTAAATTTCACAAAAACTAACTCAAAACAAAATATATTTAGGACACCTACCATACATCTACAGTGGAATGTCTTTATAATGTCTTAATCTCAATGTGCTCAAACATATATTCGTTATATCCAAAACATTTTGATCCATATTACTATTCTTATGAGTACTTTAAAAAGGTACAGTTATGTGTTTGTTATGTTTTTTTATACGAGGCTCTTAAGAAAAGTTTTCAACATGTAGAAAATACAATAAAACACTGGTTCACTGTATAGCTTACTGACCAATTTTGAATAAAAATATTATTTTTTATCTGTAAGTCACATTATTTAGTTAAGTCCCAAAGCTTTAAGTACTTAGTATTGATATACTATAGAAAATTTACAAAAATAAAAAATATGCATAACCCACCAAAATTTAATTGATGATAGGATTTCAGTATTTTCTTCCAGCTTTTCTCCCTTATGTATTTCCTTTCCCCCCCATTATACTGAAATATAATTTACATATAATAAGTGATCCATTTTAAGTGTGCATTTTGATAGTCTTTTATCAGTTGTATACAGTCATGTAACCACCACCACCACAATCAAGATAAAGAACTTCCATCACCCCAAAATGTTGCCCGTTGCTCCTCGGCATTCAATCCTTTCCTCCAACTCCAGGAAACCACTGATCTGGTTTCTATCATTGTAGTTTTACCTATTCTAGAATTTTGTATAGATAGCATCATAAAATATATAGTTTGTTTTGTTTCGTTCACTTGCAAAATGTTTTTCAGATTCATTTCATGCAATTTTAATAATATTTGAAATATCTAATACATGAACATATTTCTTCATTTACTTATGCCTTCTTTAGTTTTCCTCACAATATTTGGTAGTTTTCAGTATACAGATTTTACATATCTTTCATTAAATTTATTCCTAAATATTTCATTTTTCAGATACTATTGCAATCTAGTTCTTAAAATTTCATTCTGCAAGTGTTTATTTCTAGCACAAAGAAATAAAATTGATTTTTGTACTTTGACCTTATATCCTGCAATCTTACTAAATTCACTTATTCTAGTAGGTTTTTTAAATATATTCCTGAGTATTTTCTATAGAGATCAGGTATTTATAGAGTTTGACCTCTTCTTTTCTAATCTGTATTCTTTAACTTGCCTACAGCACTGGCTAGGGCCTCCAATACAATTTTGTACAGAACTAATAAGACTGAACATCCTTGCCTTTTTCTGAGCTTAGGTAAAAATTATTCAATATCACCTTAAGAGTATGATGTTGGCTATATATTTTTCATATACACCTTTAGTCTAGTCCTAGTTTGTTGAGAGCTATTACCATGAATGGATATTGAATTTTTTCAAATGCTTTTTCTGCATTAAACTGATAGTTTTCCTCTATTAATGTGAATTACATTAGTTGATATTCAGTGATACACCAATCTTGTATTCCCAAGATAAACCATAACTTGATCATTATATAATATCCTTTTAATAAATTGATAGATATCCTTACATGTGAACTACCCTTTACATATATTAATTTTTTACTAATTGGTTAAAGATTTTTACATGTATATTCGTGAGATTGACTTGTAGTTTTATTTTAATGTCTGGTTTTGGGATTAGGGTAATGTTGGTTTCATAAAATGAGTTTAGAAATGCTTCCTCCTCTTCTATCTTCTGTCAGAAGTTGTACAGAATTATTATTATTTCTTCCTTAAATATTTACAAGAACTCAAGATATTTGGCCCTGGAGTATATCTTTGAAGGAACATTTTAAATTACTAATTCAATTTCTGTCACTGATTTAATGCTATTAAAATTTTATATATCTCCTTGAGTCAGTATTGGCAATTTGTGTTTTTCAAGGAATTCACCCACTTTATGTAAGCTGTCAAATTTATTGGCATAAAAAAAAATTTATTGGCATAAAATTGTCCATAATACTTCATCATCCTTTCAGTGTCTGTAGGACCAGTGATGATTCTGCTCATTTATTCCTACTTTGTATTCTCTCCTTAGTGTAATATCAACTTTTGGATTCCCGGGCTCTCTATATTGTTTGTCTACTTTATACAGTGATGTTTGCTTATTATTTCCTTTCTTCTACTTACTTTGAATTTAATTAGCTCTTTTTCTAATTTCACAGTGTAAAAAATTAGATCATTGATTAGATCTTTCTTTTTCTAACTTAAAGTTATAAATTTCCCTCTAAGTACTGCTTTCATTACATCCCACAAATTTTGATGTGCTATATTCTCATTATCATATAGTTTAAAATACTGTCTAGTTTCTCTTGGGATTTCTTCTTTGGCCCATGAATTATTTTGAAGTGTGTTGTTTAACTTGCAGATATTTGGAGTTTACCTTGATTTATTATTTATTTCTATTTCTATTTCATTGAAGTTACAGAACATACTCTGTATGATTTCAATCTTCTGAAATCTATGGAGAGTTGTTTTATGGTCTATACGAAAACACCATATATACACATGAAAATAATATGTATTCTGTAATTGCTGACTATAATGTCCTAGAAATACTAATTAGGGTAAGGTGGTTGATAGCGTATTTCAGGTCTTATATGTCCTTACTTATATTTCACCTGACTGTCTTATCATTTGCTGATTTTGGAATTGCCTATTTCACCTCATTTCTATTTCTGCTTCACATACTTTTAAATGTTGTAATTAGTCATATAGACATTTATGATTATTATGCTTTCCTGGTGTACTAAAACTTTTCTCATTATGAAATGTTCCTCTTTATCTCTGTTAACACTTTTTGCCTTAAAATTAATTTTATTACTATAGTCACTCAATAATATTTGAACTTAATGTTCGCACAGTTTAGCTTTCAACTTCTGCCATCCATGGACTCTGAGCTGTTTGTGTTTACATGTAAAGTGTGTTAGCCCTTCTGCTTCATTTAACCAGGAGACTCTGTCTCCAGATTATTTTGGCCATCAATACAGGTGTAATTATGATGAGTGGGGTTCTGTCTAACATTTCACTATATATTTTCTATTTGTCCTCTCTGATTTTTGTTCCTTGATCAAGGCTTCTGTGACTCCGGCCCTTTTTCTTTAGAGATTCCTGCTCTTTGTCCAGAGGCCATGGTTTCTCCAAAGTTAGTGGTTGGTTCCCCAGGCCTAAAAGAATACAATATTTCCACCAGTTTAACCTGCTTCTGCACCTGACCTGAGGATGGCAGTCATGAAAACTGAGATTCATTCTGTGTAGCTCCTATTGTGTGAGTGTGGACTTCCCAGGGAATGGGCCTGCAGCTGCTCTCTCATCAGTGCCTGCAGGTGGCTGTGTTATGCGTTATGGCCAGATGTCCAGAAGAGAAAGATTAGTCTATTATTCATCCATTACTACCCACATACATTTCTAACACAGTGAAACTACACAGATCTTTTGTATACAACTTTATACATATATTGGTATATCAAAAAGTCATTTATTTTATTATATAGTATTTATAACCATAAAATATCTTAAAATAACTAAACTTTTCTTGTCTTAAAGGAAATACTTGCTCTTTGTAGAAAGCTGAAAATCCAAATACTAGTACCCATAATTACATTATCCAGGTTAATCATAGAATTTTGACATAATTCCTTGCATCTTTTTTCACTACACATCAGTGCATACATGTTTTAAACAGTTGACTCTGCATATATTTGTACTCTAGTTTTCCTTTAACATTATACCATAAGTCATTTAATTTTAGTGTACATTAGAATTTCCTGAGGAGATTGTAAGAGCCCAGTGATTTTGAGTTAGTAAATCAAGACTGGGGTTCAAGATTTCAAAATTTTAACTGATATTTTAAGTGATTTTGACATTGGTGGTTCATGGATATCACTTAAAAAACATGAGCTCTACAAATGATAATCAGTTATTCAACCCAAAGAAAAGTAGCTAAAGTACCTATGTATTATCTGCTCTATAGAACATTAGACATTTTAAAATAAATGGTTCTTAGGGCATAGAATAGTGGTACAAGAAAAGATCAGTAGATTAGAGAAGATGGCCCTTGAAATAGAAAATAATACCATTAAAAAACAGTGATAAAGCAGGTATTGAGAAAATTCATTGGCTTTTGGGAAAAGAAAACTGTGATCTTGTTTCACTCCATACACATGATATACATAGAAATAAATCCAAGACATTAAAAAGCAATGGAAACATAAAGGTATGAGAACACATAAGTGAATTATTATATAAACTGAGGTGAGAAAAGGTTTTCTAACAATGACACCAAAATTAAAAACCATCAAAGGAGAAACTGATGGTTAAGTACATTAAAATGTCAAGAAAGACACTTCTTGTTAAGGATGTACCCTGGCCAAATGTTTTTAAATTTAGCTTATTTTGGACTCAAGGAAATGAACTAATTCCTATACCAATACAAACCATTAAAAGTCACTTAGCAGGAAGTTTCTACATGAACAAGTCACTAAGCAAAGAAGAAATGAAGAGGTATCAAAAAAGTGCTCCTACAAAGCCCAAATTTAGTAAGTTCTTACAAATTACAAAGGAACAGACAGTTTTTATACACAAACTATTACAACAGAAAAGAAGACCAACTGCTAAAGTCATCCCAGAAAGTGAGCTATGTACCTGTTAGTCAGGACAAATTTCTCCAAGGGTAGAACACCACTCATAAACATATTTACACTACAGTCAGAGTAGGGGTGTGGAGGAAGGCAGTGCAGTGGGGAAGGACTAACCCAAATACACGTAAACTTCAGAATAATCACCATGTGTAACAAGCAAATGTAACACTAGGCAGAAAGCTAAACCAAAACCCAAACAAAATAAACACTGAGGGAAATGAAAGGTATCTTGAAGAAAAATAAGAGCTTACATCATGTTCTTGATGTTGTTAGATTTCCCTATTACAGACTTATCTACAGTTCTCTACCCTCTCAGGTAAATCAAACCCTGGATTTCTGCTGACAAATTTTATTTTTCCTATTTTACCATAATTACTTTTTTCTCTCAGGTTTAAAATTCTTGAGTTCAAATTTCATCCATTTCTTCATTTAAAAATTGATTAAAAAAAACAAAGCATTTAAGGTTAAATATTTTCTGCTGTTATATATCTTTGGCTATGATTTGTTTGAATTGTCATAGTTTTTAGATTAAAGTTTCCTGCTGTAATCATATTTCTCTATTTTACCTTGTATTTGGCTAAGGTTTTTATTAGTATGTTATTTTGTCCAAGATTAAATAGTATTACTGACTGACCCTGGACCAAGTATTCTACATGTATTTGAATTTTTCTCTATATTCAAAGACTGAAAAACATAACAAACCACCACTCAGGTACACTGAGATGCGACAAAAAACCTCAGTAGGGCTAAAGACAAAAAAACACATCATGCACTAGCATGGCTAGCTGTAAGCGAGCAGTCAGTACTCTGTCCTTTTATAAGCAGTGTTTGTTAAGAGTTTACACACACATGATGAACACATACAAAATGCATCGTGCCTCTGAATGGGTGAAGAAAAACACTGGAAGAGAAAGGCCATTATACAAGTAAAGACAGTACTTAAAGTGATATGTAAATTGCTTGCTGAAAACAGCCCAAAACATTCTTTATGAAAGCTCATCAGAAAATACTCTCTCTCAGAACAGGGTGCAGACTGGGAGGGACATGGGACTCACCATAGAACTTGGACTTAGCCAGGATGCTGCCACTAAGGCAAAATCCATCCTTTCGATTACTTACATAAAAGGCAGATATTGGTGGATGATGGGACACCTATTGAACACAAGAAAAAACATAAAATACAGTAACATAAGCATCTTGTTGCTACTATTACCCAAGTTTAAGTCTTAAAAAGTATACTGTAATAATAATAAAGAACATTTGGTAAGTAGTAAAATTAAATATTGATGATGTGATAATCAGCTCCCAAGTGTCTCTCAAGGAAAGCGACCTGCTGATATCACTGATATCTATAGCATTAGGTGGGCTCCTCTTACACTGAACCAAAGCTTGTGTGGAAGTGACTGTGTGTCACTTCTGAAATCAGGTTACAATGCCACATCCATCTTGGTATCTCTCTCATATCATTAGCTCTGGGAAGCCAGCTTCCAACCCTATGGAGAGGCCCATGTGCTGAGGAAGAGAGTGCTCTTGCAAAAGCCAAGTGATGAGCTTGGAAGTGGAATCTTCCAGCTCACATAAGCCTTCAGATGATTGCAAAGCTAGCTGGCATCTTCCCTGCAACCTCTTAAAAGACCCTGAGCCAACAACTGCTGAGCGAAGCAGGCCCATTTTCTGAATCTCATTGTATGAAATAGTAAGTCTTTGCTGTTATAAGCCACTAGGTTTTGGCAGTAATTTGTTTTACAGCAACTGATAACTTACACAGTGGTTAGTCTTCACATGGATTACAGAATAGGCTGTAGGAAACTAACAAAAGCTTTGATCAATGTTATTTTAGTAATCTAACATTTTCAATAATATATATTCATCTTATGTTTTCTGAAATGAGAAAGCTAAAATCAATCTCTTCTCGAGCTTCTCAATTTAGTGACAAATTATAGAAAAGTAAAAGGCAAGGTGGGCATAATCACTAATTTTTAAAAAATTGATACACAGGTGGTCAGTCTGGGGGTATATCAGAATGTCTAGGGAAGAGGCAGGTTTTTCAACACTGAGGAGAGGCAGTGATACATGGTCTCCTCATTGTCCTTATTTCAGGTGAGAATTATTATATTAAAGAGTCATTGTTACTGAGAGAATGTCATATTCCTTAGGTTTGTTAGGACAAGGGGAATGACTGAGAATAATGAATACAGATATACGTAAATTTAAATTAATGAAAGATTAAGAATATTTTCTGATTACCTATTATGTGTACAACAAAAAGAGAGGTATTATGGGGAGAGTATACCTTCAAGGAGCTAACAATTCAATTAGGGAAATAAACATAAGTGTTAAAATAACTGTTCAGTGGGTAATCACTCCCTCCTCCTCCCCTCCCCAGCCCCACTCCACAGACAGACATTTGAGAAGGGGGAAATCACTGGAAACTGTAGTCACCTGGATCATGAAAAATGAGGTCAGGGTTTGCTTAGATGAAGAATAGCTGAGAATAAATACTGAGGCCAGAAAGTGCACTATCAGGCTACCTAACTGTCAACACACACATTTGACTACTATACAGGGCTCAGAAAGGCATGTAGTTTGAGATAATTTAGAAAGATATGGAAGAACTTGAATGCCAGGGTGTAAATTTGATTTAGGAACGGGGGAACCATTGAAGAATTTTGGCCAAACAAAGAAACAAAATGAGGGTGGCAGAGCAGGAAAAATAAAGGTTTACTTTTGGTCACAAGATTTATTTTTGGTCATTGTAAGAGTAATACTTATTCAGAAATATTCAGTACTAAATGGTTAAATGATTACCAAATGTTCACTAATAAGAAAAGTTAATCAACAGTGAGTTTACTGAGTCAATATTTTCTACAAAAACATTCCAGTAACTTCTTGAGTCACTTTTTTTTTCTATAATATGCATTTCTAATACCTGTTCAGCAATATAAAATGTTTTGCTGTTTGTTTTGGGATGAATCCACAAACAACGGAAAGTCTCCCCAAGTATAGGATTGTAAGGTTTCTTCAGTCCCTAGTAAAAAACATACAAATTTCAATTATAAATATGGAAGACTCAAATAATTTAAACCAGTAAAGATGGGCTTAACAATATCACCTGAGAGCTATCCTTATAAAATTTCACAGTAGTGAGATGAAATAAGATAAAATGACTTCAATCATAATATGCATCTAAATGATCAAGTATTTCAAATTTTGTTAGAGAGCCTGTAATACAATTATCAATAAATAATCTAAAGGTAATATAAAAAATAAAGAACTCATTAAAGACTAAAGAAAGTAAAATATAAACATTACCTTTGGCTTTTTATAGAATCCTGACAAATACCATTTCACTACTTTCCTCAAACGGAAATAAGGATTTTCTTCAAGAGAAGCCCTAAGAAATAAAATGGTATACAAAAAATCTTTACAAAATATATCACAAATTGTCCCTCATATTTATCAAGTAAACAACTGAGTATGAGATGTGACTGGAAAGCATAATTCATGTTTAGAATACATGGCAAAAAACAACCATGTAAATCAGTTTTCATAATCTGATTATTTTTCTCCCTCTTTTTCCTGTTCTTTGATAAACTGCTCATGTCTTGAGTAGTTTTTGGAAATTCTCTAAACCAAGGTTTCTTAATTGGGATTCTGTAGAATCTTAGATGTTCCTAGGGATTCTTTGAGAAAATGTGATTGAAAAAAAATAAACATAGATTTTTAAATTTGTACACTGAATGATGCTTATCATTTGCAAAGAATGGGGCAGTGGCCAAGCAGCCTCATTAACAATTTATTTAGATGTCTTCAGTCCCATATGTCAAAGAACAACCATACTTACTTGATTTAGTCTAGTCACAGTTGTTGATGTTAATTAGAGATCACCAATAATTAGTGAGTGCAGTGGTACATGGAGGGAGGCCAACAGGCTGATATTAGCCTCTCCCATGCAAACTGCCTCCCTAAGTATAGGATTGTATGCCTTTTTAGATCCTTGTACAGAACCCAGAAGTTCCAAATCACAAACACAGAAGATTAAATTAATTTAAGCCAATCATGAAAGTTTTAACCAATTTCTAGCCTTCAACTTCCCCATGGGCTACCAATTGATTTTCTAGAGTGAATGAACTCTACCAATATAACAAATAATGAAGGAATAATTTTCATTTTAAAGAAGAAATTTTTAGAAGCCATGACTCAGCTGACCCTTTCCCATTTGCTGTTGCTATAAGCATTGCAAAATATTGATTGTGTGTATGTCACAAGTGAATTCTACTCAGAAGTTTTCATATGGCCCCACCTCTCCATACTGTTCCTAGTTACCTCCCATTGGCAACTATATTTTTAGCTTCTTTTTAAAAATAAAATAGTTTTCTTCTCATCATAAAGAAACAAATATAAATATGTAGTCTTTTTTCTTAAAAAAAAAAAGTAGCAAACTACACTTTCTTCTGTACCTTCTTTTTTCACACACACATACACACACATCCTGAAGGTCCCTCCAAATTAGTTTATCGAGTTCTCCCATGTATGTATGCACCATACCTTATACAACCAGAAAACTGGCCAGACACCTGAGTTACCTGATCTTTTACTGTTAGAAGCCCTGCTGCAAAAACCTCATGCCAATTCATGTATGTGGAGTTACATCTCTAGGAGTTATTCCCAGAAGCAGCATCACTGGATCAAATGATTTCATGAATCTGTATTTTGGTAAGCACTGCCAGATTCCCTTCAGAGTGCTGTGCTGTTCCTATCACCCAGCCCAGTGCATGACTGCCTGTGGCCCCACAAAGCCTGGGCTTCAGTGCCTGGTGCCAGAAGAGTGCAACCTTTCAATTTGGGAAAATGGGCATCTCTCAAGAAGATCTTATAGAGGAACCTGTCTCATATTCTGAGAGAAATGAACTGCTAGACAGATTAAAGAAAGATAAAATACAAAGGAAAACTGGGGCATAACAGCTTTAGATTTTTGGTCAATGTAATAGATAAAAAATAGTGTCTTATTACAGTTTGAATCTCCATTTTTTTATTTTGACAGTGGTTTATGTGTTTAAGCACTGTTTGTATTTATTCATTTTTGAACTGCCTGCTCATTTCCTCCACTGCCTTTTCTGTTATGTTGTTGATCATTTTCATTCAATTTCTATGACAGCTTTTTGTTTTAAGGAGATTAACACTTGTGTATGACTTAATTTACAAAAATCTCCCATAATTTACCAATGATCTTTTGGTTCAGTTTATGATTTCTTTGCAATGTTTACTAATGCAACTAATAGACTGATAATGCAAACTAATTAATTAAATTCAGATATTAACACAGAATCTAAAAATCAGGTCACAGAGCCAGAAGACACAGTGTCTTGAGACTGCTGCTGGGATGGGAGCAGCAGGTGAAACGGCGAAAGGTGTGCATAAAGATGCTGTCTTTACTGGTTCTCCAAGAAACTGTTGGGAAGGAGGTGAACAGCTCTTCCTCCACCTCCTTAGTGCCTGCCGCCTTTAGGATTAGACCCAGGGTCTGCTGGCAGGGAGAAAAGCAAAGGTGAGAGGGGGATTTACGTCATTAGCTAGCAATTGGCAGGGTGTTCCAGTTGTGTAAACTGCCTCACAAGCATGCAGAGAGGATAAGTATAAACGGAAGCACAAGCCACACAATGGGACCTGACCAAGGGCTTAGTGGGGGACAACAAAGCATGCCAACCACCTCTCCCTGTGTGAGGTCAATGAACAGGTAGGAGCCTGTGATAGCAGTGCTGTGGGGTGAGGGGTAGAATTCTTATCTTCCTCAAGCTTGTGAGTTCTCAATTCAACTTCATGAATGGAAACACCATAAGAAAGTATTAAATATGCCTCTTAATAAGGCCAACTGTAGAAGCAGTAAAAAAGAGAGAGTGATATCTCATTTTAGCCTGATATTGGTAAGGCATAGCCACTGAAATGAGCACTCTGAAAATCTCTAAACCATGATGTATCTTTAAAGAAATGAGAAACTACTTACTCTGATAGGAAATCTGCATGATAGTAATAATCTGAAAGTTTATCCAGGAAGGAACGAGGTTCCAAAATAAATGTAGGCAGAACCACTCTGGACAGGTCCATGCCAGGACGGACTTGTTTCAGCAGCGTCCAGATAAGGCTTTTGTTTTCTTCAGACACCGTTTCTGTTTGAGAAGCTTCACCTGCCTTTAGCAATTAACAAAAAATACTGAAATAATGTATTGATTTCAGCCACATTAGAAACACAGACAAGACAGTTAATGTCAGAAATCTAAATTCTCTACAGGACTATTTTGAGCATTCTTAAAATGTGGAAATAATAGCCAATCAGATAATAAAAAAAGGTCCACAGATACGAAATTTAGGTAAAAAGAGTAGTTGCAAGAGACATCAAAGTGAATGACATATACAAGGAATCCATTACAAAAAACATACACTATTATTTTATAGTATATGTGCTTCTAGCAATAAGTTATAAATGTTTTCTTGCAATGTACTTTGTACCTAGCAATGCTATTTCAAAAGCAACTTGAAAGAAATGTAAAGTTAAAATTTAACAGAATATATTGGTATTTGTGTGAGTATATATGCTCAGTTGTTTATAAATGCTGATGTACTTCATACGTATGGAACTTTTAAAACAAAATAGGTATCATGTAGGTATTCTGTCTCAGGAAAATAAGCAATGGGTCAAACAAATATCTTCAACCTCATCTGAAAATTCCAAGAATGAGAAAAGCAACATCTCTGAAAACCACAGGCTTTCACCTCTCCGAGTTCTTCATGGCTCTGTTCCGAGTAGGTGGTCTCCTTTAGAGGCTCAACGGGTTCAGGTTCAATGTAAGAATCATCCTGCCTTTCTGACGTGTCTGTGTCACTTTCTTCGCTTTTCCCCATTACCTCATTGTCAGACTCATCATGCTCTTGATCATTTTCTTTATCGGATTTATCAGAATACATATCTTGGTCCTTAAAATGCTGTCTTTCAATTTCACTATCATTTAACCTTAAGAGAAAGAATTATTAGAAGGAAGAATAAAGGAGGTTAAGAAAATTTAATCTATAAATAAGTATGATATATAACATTTACTGAGAATTTACTATGCATCAGGTACTGTTCTAAGTATTTTATATAGTTCAACTAATTTAAGCCCCCAAATAACCCTAGGAGATAAGTAATATTATTACTCTCACTTTACAGGTTAGTAAATGGAGGCACAGAGAAATTAAATTAAAACCTTGGAAATACTTTTAAAAATGACACTCGGAGCTCTTTGCCTCTCTACCTCTTGGGGCTAAAATCTTCAACAGCAAAAGTTTAGACTATCTACTGCTAGACTTCTTAGTTTTGCAAACATCATCATTTGAATCATTCTCACTGTCACTTCCAGTCTGAAGAAAAACTTGGAAATCATCAGATTCTCGAGTGAATTCAAATGAATTATGAATTTCCACATGAAAAGTCTCATGAATCACTTAAAATAAGTTGAAGAATAAGAAGAAAATGTAAAAGGTTAAGTAATTTTATCTATTTAATACTTGACTGATAGGCTTAATCTTGAGAAAAAAATTCAGGGAGAACTGGAAATGGAAATTTAAACTTAAGGAAATGAACCTATAGCCTAATATTGGTAAATTGCTCTACCCAACCCTATTCGTATAGTAAGTAGGGATAATAATCTGTACAAAAAGGAAGTGATTTTTAAAAAAAACTGATAGGCTTAATCTTGAGAAAAAAATTCAGGGAGAACTGGAAATGGAAATTTAAACTTAAGGAAATGAACCTATAGCCTAATATTGGTAAATTGCTCTACCCAACCCTATTCGTATAGTAAGTAGGGATAATAATCTGTACAAAAAGGAAGTGATTTTTAAAAAAGCTCATTTCCAGAATTTAAAAATTTTTAAATAAATTTCTTAATTAACAAAGTATCTGTGGGTTTCATTTTGTATCACAATCTAATAGGGATGAACACTAAAGTACTTTACAAATGAACACATGGTGCCCTTATATATAACTTATATTTTAACAATGCTAAGTTAGGTAACCCAGCACAGAAGTCCTCTTTGATTCTTATTTAGTCTCTATTTTTCCAAAATCTTCATTTGTTTGGATTTTATCCAGGAAATTTTCAATGAAAATTAATTTTTAATAATACTTGCTATTTTCTTTCTCTCCATTTACAATCATTTACTTTTAAAAAGAAGTCTCAGAGGCTGTCTCTGCTTTCTTACCATCTCTTCTTTTCTCAATGACTCACCATCTGATTTTCACTCCCCTGACTCCACTGACTGTCCCTTTAAAGGTCACTAATGATGGCTTAGGAAACAAGTCCAGCGGCCTCATTTAATCTGCATTTGCTGTGAGTTCTCTGAACCACAAGATTTTGATGATGCTTGTTTTCCTTGAAATGGCCTTAGTGCTTGGGTTTCACGTAACTGTGGTTCTACTTTTTAAACTCTCTGATTCCTCTTATTTACTTCCATCCTTAAGATAGTTTCATTTTCTTCAACTTTCTTCTCTCTCCTTTGGCAAAGAGAACTATCCTGTTCCCAGACAAGTTCTCCTTTGGCAAGGGAACTATCCTGTTCCCAGACTTCATCACCATTTCTATCTGATGATTTCCAAACCCAAGCATACAGGAAAAAGCTTCCAACCCAGGTTTTTAAATGCCTGGCTGAGACCATCTGTATGTCCTGGGACCACTGCAACCTCAACATATCCAGTATTTAATAAGTTATTATTTCCCATACATGGTCTTCTGTTTCATTTTACCCTCATCTCCAGTCACTCAAGCTTAACACTTGGTAACACTACATCCAAGTAGAATGTAAGTCTCGAAGGTTGGCCTCCACACCCCTCATCTCTGCATCACCAGCGCTTGGCTCATTTTCTGTAGCCAAATGAACATGTTGAGATGTTGATTCTGTTTTTGTAAAAACCTCTTACATTGATCCTCTCCCTCACTCCCTAGCTGGGTATTTTATTTTCATCATCTAAATTTTTCTGATCCTATATTATCCTAAAGTATCTCTTCTTTTGTTGTTTATATCATTATCTTCCTACTATTTATAGTTGCCTGGTATTCTGTAGGTTTCAAACAAAACATCTCACCAGGATCACATAGCTAGTAAACTGTTCTACTGGATTCAAATTTAGGGTCGTATTTGATTCATTTCCCTATTCACAATGCAGTGAATTATACAGAAAAGCATATGGTGTCTTTATACTGAAAAGAGGTTCAAAGATTTTTAATGAGTATTTGAAGTAGATGAACTCTTAAGATCCCCAAACAAGAGCATTTAAAGATCACCTGGTAGTCAATAAAAACAATAGATTATTTACAGCTGAAGAGCTCTGAGGGAAAAATCTTGGGAAAAGTCCCCAAAAGACACTCATTCCTCATCATTTGCCCCCTTGCCCCCTAATGTTATCCCATTAAAGCTCCCCTAGTGGAAACTAAGATAAAGCTCCAGATTATAGGTCTGCAAAGGATGAAAAAGAGTCAAGCAAAGGGCTAGAAAAAAGTGTTCACCTCAGGTTATACAGAGCACAGGAGAGCAGCAGTCTAACTCTGGGAGGCTAACCCCAATGCTGACGGGAGTAAGTTGCTTCAAGGCAGAAGCTGAGCAGTGGGGCAAAGGGAGGAAAGGAGAAGTCTAGTATCTTTCCTATAAGGCAACAAGAGATCTGAACCACAAACAAAGTACTTCTTAGTTTCCCTGGAGAAATATTTTTTTAGTATTAACTACAATAAATGCGGATAAACCACAAATAGGATGCAGTTTCAACTTAAAACACTTAAAATATAATATAGGTCCACAAATACCAGGCAGAATAGAATAAACCAGGTGTCATTACAAAAAACAAAACAAAAAAGAGGTGCTACAGAATAGCAATAGAAGGGTAGATATCTCACTGTTTTGGGGCAGGAATGGCTTTACATATAAAGTAATATTTGAGATTTGTTTGAAAAATAGGATTATGAAGGAGAAAAAAGCAAGGAAGACAGAAATTCTTAATGTGGGAACAGCATGCATAAAAATGTAGTAGTTAGCATGGTTGTATTTAGAAAAGAAAAGTAATTCCCACTAGGTGGAATCAAGGAAATAACTTTCTACCCCTTATCATAGCAATTAAACAAATCTTAACAGGTCTTAGCCCATATAAGGGAAAGACGACAGCTGAGTTTCAACTTCACATACACTACGGAATTCTAAGCCTGCCAATTAACCTAGTGAACAGCATGGTCCCTAAAATAACCACTAAGTTAGTGGCGCTATCTACTTACTGGAAGTGGTCACCACTGTGGAGATTGTTAGCACGTAATAAGCCGTACAAAGTCACATGTGTGCTCTCTGAGGACGTGCTCAGGTCATGCTCCTTTCCTTCCCTGATCACGGCACGTTTGAGCAGGCTAGAGCATTTCAAAGCCAGCTCCAAAGCATCCATCCAGCACCTGCCTAGAAGAAGACAGATTCACAAGCAGCCTAATTCAAGGAATGACAAAAATAATCATCCATCTTAATTTAACACGGTTAAGCTTTAAACATGCTATTATTTCTTTGAGAAACAGGCACTGGAAAAGTTAATTTGACATTAAATCTTGTAAGGATTTTTTAAAGCAATTTTCCAGTTTAACAAGTTTCTTACATACTAAGGCATCTAGAAACCACTGGTAAATTAGTAACATAGCATGCATTAGAAAGCACACCTAATCTAAGATAAACGTACTTCATTTTTAAAATCTGAGAACATTAACATGTAGCATAATTTGAAGGTATCAAGGAAAGGTACATAAATTATACTGAAGGGGTTAAGTTTCTACTAAAAACAATCTATCTAAAATGATGTTTTGTTGCTTATAGGCAGTCCATCCCCAGGTTTAGCACCCATTATACTTCCACATACAAAAATTTTTAAGTATTGCCTGTACAGTATTGTCATTAACTGCCATATTAGTAGGAACATAAATAAGTTTATTTTTTTAATTAAAATTTAGAACTGTATTAGCAGAAAAAAATGTTAGTTGCTCATAAAAATTCATGTGTATTTGTTTCAATATCAGCTGGAAATGCCTATGATATTTTAATTTTAAGATTAATATCTGGTAAAAGTAAGCTTTGAAATGTTACAAGATTCCCTAGGCAAAGCAAGTCTAAACTATAAACACAAAAGTGAAGAAAACTCCATTATCAATTATTAAAGTTTTAAAGTTAGCTTGCTCTCATATAAATAAGTTTTGTTCGCTCCATATTTGCCTCAGAAACTAAGTATTAACTTACTAAGTGCAGAACAAAAGTTTGTACTCGAAATGTCTTTTGTTAAAAAATAAACTCAAAACAGTATATATGTGTCCTATAAATTATATAATACTAATAAAATATAAACAGTATTAAATGGAACTCCAAAATGATAAAACTAAATGAGTTACCACAGACTTGACTAACCAAGTCAAGAGGTGTTAATTGGTCAATGGAAGATGAAAGAAAACTCTAGGCTACTAAGTCATCATGTAATTAATTTTACAGAGCTTCCTTTCTATCAGATTTCCCTGTCTGTCTACCGGTGTAATGATATATTTGGTGTTCTAAGCAATACCTCTGTGGCAAATGTCATTCTAAAGACAGATTTTCCCAAAGGCAAATACACAGTTGTATATAAAATAAGCCATAAAATGAGATCCATACTCCAAATCACCAAAATCAGCATTTACCATCTGATTCGGTAGTAGCTCGGATGATCAAGTAACTGCTAGGTAAGGGCTGCGTTATGGACCCAACTGCCTCGCCTTTTGGACCCTTAAAGTAAATAAAATAAAATAAAATAAAGGGTGTTACAGAAAGTATTATGAGATCTCAACTATGTTATCCTTATTAGTAATAATCTAAGACATGGAGTATGATTTAAAGACAAACAAGCTTTAACTGCATGTTTATTGAGAAAGCAAGTGTTTATTAAGAAAAGTTTTCCTCTTCCAACAAATACACCTCCTTACCAGAAAACTGAACAATGTGTAGTTATCATTAACATTATCTCTGCATATTGCTCACATAGGAAAAAAAACCCTAAAATTTACCATACTAGACCAAATTTTAATTTAACAGAGCATTTCCATACCACAGATATCACTAGATAAGAAATACTGAATTTCTAGAAGCCTAAAGAAACAGCTGGAAATACAATTTACAAGAAAAAAAGAAATTTGGACTAGGTGTAGGGAAAAATAAATCCCCATTTTATAACCTTGAATATACTTGTTTATGAATACCAACTATAAAAGCTAGTTTTATTTCTTCAGAAGTAAGAAAGAAAAAGGAATTCAGTTGTTGGCTGGGGTTATTTTAGAAGTATACAATACCAAGCACTCAATAGTAATTAGCATCACCAAGGCTAATCTTTGGGCATAGTTTTTATCTGCAAAGATGATTGGAGTATTGGATTTAAGTATAATTTTGATACAAAAATCATAATTTTTTAAGTTGTCAAAGAATAAAATGGATTTTATGAAGCATACACAATAGGAAGATGTAAATTCAAAATGAAAAAATAGAAAAAATTCAGTATTACTTTAACAAATCCTATAATATCCGCTATCCCTTGCTTATTTTCAAACAGCTTTATAATCACGGGCCGGCTCCTAGAGCCAGGATACAGTAGGGTCTAGAGTCAGACAGCCTCAGTTTCAACCTTGGTTCCATGCTAGAAAAATTACTTAAGTAACCTCTCTTCAAGCCTCAATCTCTTTATCTGGTAATAGGGTAAAAACTGTATCCTTCTTAAAGGTATGAGAATTAAGAGTCCATGTAAAATGCTTGAAAGTCCCTGATGCAAAGTAAAAACTCATAAATATTACCTTTTCCTAATCATAGACACTGACTTCAAAGTTGTTTAAACAATGTCCTAAGCAGGTTTGCTGGCGGAGAATAAATATTCTGATGTTCACATAATTATACAAATTTCCCTTCCATTAATATTTGGAATAAAATACATTTGACTTAAAAATATTTTTTAATGATTCAAAATTTCATTATAATTCTTACAATTCCTAAGAATAGTAGTAAGAAATGAATACTGCATATAAAAGATTTTGAAAGTAAATTATTTTTCACTAGAGGCTCACATGACATGTAAATACCAGAGGTTCTACAGGTTAAATCCTTTCCCCTGTGGGAAGCACCTAATGCCAAAAATGGAACCAACTAACTGTAATCCTAAACTTATTCGTGCTATGACTCCAGACTACTGAAGTAAAAAGCTCAGATCTTTTCCTAAGTGCATATATTACCTAATAAAGCAGTATCAGAAAATTAAAAAGTTAAAGCACTTTTACTCAGCCCTAATCTCAATTAGATGATTTTCCTTAAAAGAGGAGTTCTAAACCTTTTATTCAAGTATAACTGACCTTTTTAGAAACTAAAACCAGATCACTTCATAAAAGCTAAAACTAGATTAATTCATTCAATGAGTGTGTACTGAATGTCTGTAGAATTCCTTGGTAGTTAATCAAATAAGGCATTTCTATTTTCCTAAGTTTCTGCTTTTATAACACAGCAGTGACCACAATAATGTTTTTAGTTACAAAAACATTAGAACTCCATTCTCAAAGAAATCTGACTCTCAAGAGTAAGAAGTACTGCCTCTGCTTATAGGCTTCTTATTGCATATGCACATCACTATAGGAAAGACCATAGGGGTACATGGCAGCTTCTCTTTTAGGGGGTCTTTCAATTCTGATAAAGAGAAAAGCACAGTAAACATAATACAATATTACAAAGCACAATTAGTAATTGCAAATTAAAGACACAGTACAAACTGAATATCCATAGACAAGAGATTGTAAGGTATAATATAAATTAGGGAAACATTTTCTGGAGAAAGTTTTAATTGAGAGCTTAAAGGCAAACAAAGCCTTTTTGTTCATATTCTACTGTGGGCAGAGAAAGAAGGAAGAATAATTGCGCTTGACAGTAACAGATGATAAGCCCTGCCAAAGACAGCAATCACTTAATAGATTTATTTCAGTTCTACTCACAGACTGTCATCTTTATCTTTTAACTATATAACAAGTACTTACTTACCTTCACTGCCCAAATAGACTGCTCCAAAGGATGAAAAAGTTTGAAACAAAAGCCATCCTTTTTTGAAGGACGCTCAATGATCTCACAGGCATTCAGAAGGACTGTTCCTACCCATTGACCATTTTTTTGGGTTTTATAGATGAGTAGCACCCCTGGTTTCAATACACACCACAGCTTTGTCCAGCTCTTTAGAGTACCACGAATCTAGAAGATAAGTTTATTTAAGAAATAAAGCTCTATTTTTATTTCTGTGCCATAAGATACAAACCAAATAATAAAAAATGGGATGTTTTAATCTAAAATTTCCATAAAATGTACATTTTATAGATTAAATAGATTTTTTTGAATGCTACTAAGTGGCAAGCACTGGAAACAAATGTGAAAATAAGGTCTTGCTTCTGAGGAACTTAAATTCTTGCGGGAGACTGGATCAACAGTCTCAAAATAATGTACTATACATAGAATGGTTTTCCCAACCTTCCAGGCCAGATCAGGGGCCATTAAAATACACTTTTCAGTACCAAGATTCTCCTCTTCTTAGCATCTATCACAGCTGTAATTTTATTTGTGTGGATATAAAATTACCCCACCTTTTAAAATTTGTTACTTCTTACTACTATGGCAACAGTGTTGGAAACACTGCTAGCACACACACCAAGCATTCCCTAAATACTGGGTGAATGGTAAGAAGAGGAAAGAACCTCCATATATCCCCTAAAATTACCTTCTCTAAATTGCTTTGTTCTTAGTAATTATACTGCTATATAAATTTCTTCAGGGAAATTTTAAAACACAAGTTATATGAATCTCTCCACAGTCTTATAAAACTGTTAGGTAGAAAGACAGACATGAGCACCTGGGAAGGGGAAGATAAAGTTCAAGGAAAAACTCCCCAAACTCTGCCCAGGTAGGGATGGCCACATGAAAACAGGGCTTTGAAGGAAGATAACTTCTTGCCATTGGGACCAGTCAACCTGATTCTAATGTGGACATAATGGAACAAAATTAAAAATTGCCCCACACATGCCTCATCACAGGAAAGGACTTGCACATGGAGAAGCATGGCTATACAGATGGACCTGTCAATCAAATAACACCACCTTGTCAATCAAAGAAGTGCCTCCTTGCCAGAATGCAATATACAGGCCCCCCAACCTAATGGATGGAGGCCTTTGTCTACCTTGACTGTGGCCTGCTTCTCCCTTGGACTGTATTCAAATAAAACATTCACTCTGTTTCACTATTGTTTCTCTGCCTTTCAGTTCTTTGTTCTGGTGGGCGCAAGGTCAGAAAACAAATTCAACCCATAACAAAACAATCCTTAGCCTACAGTTTAATGCTATGTCAATAATAAGTCTATGACTTTTTTCTTTTAAATTTCTATTTCTTTAATCCATTAAAAGGGTTTCTATGCAAGTCCCTGAAATCACAATACTGACAAGAATGTTGATGTAATGTTTATATTAAAAAACAGGAATTATCGTCACTTGTATTTACTGTGAAACATCTGTTCTCTCAATGCACTTACATGGATTATGAAATAAATACAGGGCTCCCTAACCACCCAAACAGGCGTACCACAGAACTCTAAACAAGAAAAATTGAGAAAGGGGAAGTGTGGAGCAAGGCATGAAGAGAAAATTGTTAAGAAAAAATACATGTCTAATGTAGGTAGGTCACAGGGAAGGCAGTATAGCACAGAGAAGACAAGTAGTGACTCTATAGCATCTTACTACACTGATGGACAGTGACTTCAATGGGGTGTGGAGAGGACTTAACAATATGGGTGAATGTAGTAACCACAATGTTGCTCATGTGAAACCTTCACAAGATTGTATATCGATGATACTTTAATAATAAAAAGAAGATAATCAGATAAGAAACAACACAAAAAAGAAAAAGTATATGTCTATGTACAGAAGATGGAAAGAAAAGAGAAGCTAAATTAAGAATTATCCTGAGATAACATTCTGGATTGTGGAGGTGTGACAGTAGAACATGAATGGTAAATTATCAGAATGAAGGTATGATTTAGAAAGTTAGCCAGGGGATGTGCTGGGGACTTTTGGGGCACTGGTTGGGGAAATTCTATGTCAAAAGACAAGAGTAAGTTTAGCTTTGACAAACCCAAGGGAGATCTAAAGCTTAAAGATATTTAAATAAAGCCAAAATAAATCTGAAGGTGCTTTCAACACAATGCTGAAGACACTAGCATTAGCTGACCTACAAGCAAAACGATCACTAGACCTCATTTAGTAAGAGAACTTTCATGACAGATCTCTAAGGATTTTAGGTTGGAGGTTTCACCAACTCCTTGGAAAAGTGTAAGCTTTCAGAGCTGGAATGATTTTTAGGTGAATGCCAGGTGTTAAAACTTCCTGGGAGTCAGGATCTTGTAAGATCATTCTTAAATTAGCATTAGTCTGAAAGATTCATACCGAATATCCTTTAAGTAAGAATAAGAAAGAGGATAGAGAGGGCTGATAGAAAAGTACATAAAAATAAGTGGGAATAATGAGAAACCAAAAAAATAAGGTATGGAAATAGTAACATGTTTTTCTGAAAATCAATCCTTTTCAAATGATAACTTCTAGGTTAACTTTGTCTCTTCTCAGTAATGCATATACCAGTCTACAGTATTAAATAATAATTTCAATAGCAAGTAAAATATTAATTAACATCTGTAGGTAAAATGGAAGTTCTATGGCCAGGATCCTCACCTGATCCTAATCTGATCTGCCCATTGTATATGTGCAGTGATGTAATACTCAGCCTACTACACAGGCTCATGCTTGGATAGTCATTGGCAATTAGCCATTATTGCCTGTGTTGCTACAAAAGATTTCTCCCAGTGCTCATAGCAGAACCTAGAGAAGAGAGCAAGAGAGCAGAGGCTGGAGGTGAAGGCAGAGGCTGAGGTAGAGGCAGAAACAGAGGTGGATGGGATTCTAGCATTCCACCTACCACTGTGAGAACAAAGCTTGGTATGAGGCCCTTTTTACCTTCAACGTTCTACTGTTGTTATTAGGTCTCACCAAATCCAGAGTGAACTTGCCTAGAGCTGAAACCCTCAGGCAAGACATCATCATATTTGATTAGGCTATATACTGCCACACAAATCAAAGTCTTTTTAAAAGAACTGCTGCCCATATTTGATGGACAGACAACACAGAGTTTCTTTCTCCCCATTAAAATTGGAACACAGACCCTAGACCCTCTACAATACAACTAATAGTTTGTCAGTGAAAAACCACCATCCACTGAGTTGTTTTTGTCTTGTAGGATTAGGTGTACTCTGGGCTTTCCTAGTCCAGTAAGTAAACATTAAGGTAATCTGAATTCAAGATTCAATGTGTGAGGACCTATGGCAGGCCACCCCAAGATGTGCCACTGTGACATGCATATTATTTCAGATTTAAGAACAATCAAGGCCCAAAAGACTCAGGAAGAAACTTTGACCCCCAACTGCATAAAAAGAATTTAGATGGAGGGCATGCTTCAGGAAGAGAGCCATCACCTTAGACAACTATACTATAATGTAAACTAGGAGTGGCAGACCCACTGGGAGGGATGCGGATGAGTCTGTTAAAATTTCTTTGTGCACCCTCATTGTTACTGTGGCTCAGAGCATCTTTGACTATCAAACATTTACTCTTTCATATTCCTGTGCGTTGCTTCCCTTTTCCTTTGAAGTCTCAGATCCCTAACCCCCTTCTCCTTGGTTCTGGATGACGTACACACATCATCCTCCCTGACTGTCTCTGGAACCCATGTCTACGGCTTCCTAGTACCTACATAATTAAACTTTGTCTTTCCTGTTAATCTGTCTCATGTCAATTTGATTCTTAAACCAGCTAGAAGAATCTCCAGGGTAGAGAAAACTTCTTCCTTTCCAACAAATACAAACTGACCTTCAACCAATCGGCCATAACTATAACTGAAGGATCTGTGATTGTACTGAGTAACTCCTTTGTGGCTCTTTTCTTTTCTTCTCGGTAATTTTTCTTTTGCACCTATTTATAGAAATAAAGAAAAAAAATTAATTAGAAATAGGGAGTTTCCTTTCAATTTTTTAGGTCCATAGGACGTAGAGTATAAAATTCTAAACCTCTTTTAGAATTCTAGCATCAAAGGATAAAATAACATTTTTTTTTTAAGAACTGGTAGGAATTTTTAGAAAAATAAGGTCAGAATCTAGTTTTTCTCATTACTAGTCCAGTTCTCTATATCTTTAAAGAATTCTACCTTTTTCCAGTTACAAAGTAATGAAGGGCCCCCACCAGTAACATGGCAAACTTCCGGCTTCTTTTCAGGGTCCTCGGTTCCCGCCACCGCCACCTGAAGCCCAATCACCTCTCTCCCCCCTCCCAATCCCAGCACCTAGCCAACAGCCACCAGCCCCATAGAAGTGACACCTCAATCAATTCATACCCCTTCCTATATAACCCAGCACCTTTCCCTAATAAAGCGGAACTCTCCGGTGAATTGCTGCTATGTGTCGCTCCTTTCCTTTCAAGTAACACATGAACACAATTTTCTGGTAAAAATTTCAAACAAAAATAAAGCTAAAGGAAGTCTTTATTATACCCTATCCTATTCCACTCCTCAGAATTAACCACTATTAATCATCTGGAAAACACTATTCTTTAAGAGCTTTTCCATGTACACAAACTATAGAAATACATAGCTTTTGTATTTGCTTTTTTTTAAGCACATTAAAAAAATTCTCCCATTCAGTATTTTTTGAAGTGTTTCCACACTCATTCTTTCAACTGCTACATAGAGTTCCTAGTATGAATAAAATAATATGAGCTCGTATCTTCCAGGCACATCCTGTGTAGCAGTCACTGTGTTCTAAGCACTTTAGGTGTATCACTTCATTTAATTCCCACAATAACCTTGGAAAGTGAGACTATTATTATCCTCATTTTACAGATTAGATAATTGAGGCATAGAGAATAACTTGCCCAGGACCACATGCTGATGAGTCATGGAGGCAGGATTCCAACAGGCAGACTGGCTCTAAAGGACATATGCTCTTAACCATTATGTGATACTGCTTCTTTAATTTTTCTTAATATATTCTCTTATGGATGGAAATCCACTCTGCTGTCATTTTTCTCATGTTACAAACAATGCTGTAATTATTTGCAACTGGCAATTTTGCTGCTCTTTCCTGATACTAATATATAAGATATAAATAAGAAACCAAAACAATGATATCATTAAAAATATCAAAGTTTTACCTTCATAAATCACTTCTGAGATAATTTGGGGAAGAGCAATGGAATAATGTAGACTTATCACTGCCTTGTTATATGGATGGGAGAAGAGTAGTAATAGCCTATCAGTAATACATATATTTTCTAACTATAACACAAAACCCTCCCAGTTGCACCTAATGGTTAAGAAGCTATATACACATAACAAAATTTTAATAATTTACAGCCAAAAATCTACATTTTTGGTCTTGATTAGTATGCATATCTGAATTAGCAGTAGACTTACTAGAGGATCATAAATGCATACAAGATCAGATACGGGGGAAAACACAGTAAAGTAGACTACACAGGGATGAGAGACTATTGGAAAACGTGTTCCTTAAGCTCCAGGATCTGTGGCAATTCTGGAAGGCAGGCCCAATAGTGCATTATTTCTTTTTTTTTTCAATTCATCTGGTATTTATTTAGAGCTCAAAAGGCCCACAGAGCCTGGGCTGATGGACAGAAGCACAATGGTGAGGTCTGGGTGACCACAGATACTCAGTCAGGCTGTCCGTGGAAAAGTCCAGAGGCAGAAACTGTATTCCCAACTATTTATGGGGAGCTCTCAGGGGCCTGCCCCAAGGCTCTGACATCTGGAGTGTTTCTGTAGGGGCAGAGATCCTGGAATATGAACTCTCCTGAAGTGACAATTGTCCAAGACGGAGTTTCTCAGCTTTGTGCACCAGGGTCACTGGAAGTAAAGCCATGCAGAAGCACGGCCATCACCCCAGCACATCCATGTGCCTGCAGGCACATGCACACACACATACATGCACTTCCCGCTGGGTCAACTTCACTCCTGATTTGCTGCAATGGTCACTGAAGTGAAATGCAGGCCCGGGGAGGGCAGGAATAGTGCATTATTTCTTAAGGGAAGTTGGAAATCTGGACTTGAAATAGTTAGCTCAAAGTTTTAAAACATTGTGTAGGTCAAACAAATATTTCTACTTGTTGCCAAATTCAGCCCATGACCTAGCATTTAGTAAACTAAAATTTCAAAGAGCACTGAGCTTCCCATCATGTGTTCCACAACACATGTGGGTCCCAACTGGGGTGCAGCTGTGCAGGGATAGCAGCCAGCTGGGGCTGACACAGCTCCGGACAGGGCCCTGGGAACCTTTTCAGGTGACTCCAGAGTGCCAGGCAAATAGTAACGTGTTTTATGTGCACCAGCCTGGAAGCCACCTATTCATTTATTTACCTTCGCCTACTTTCAAAAGCACATGCAAAGCATAATAATAGTTATGAAATAATTGTGGAAACTAACCTTAAGAGACTCTTTTTTTGTGAGCTTGCTTGAAGCTGAATTATCCTTCTCTGAGCCATTATAAAGTTTTGATTCAGACTGAAATTATGTAGAAACGAACAAAAGAGAAATGATAATTAAAACCTTGTTTTATACCTATAGCATATAAAAAATAATGTTAAAGCTATGTTTGTGATATTCTTTACATGTACTGCTGTGCTTCAGGCAAATACCAATTTTCCCTATAGTATTTGGGTTTAAAAATTAATCCATGTTACACTTTAAATCCACAAAAACACAAAAGTAAAAACTAATCAACAAATAAATCTACAATGTGGGGTTAAATAAGATCATTTGTAAATTTTTGCATTCTGTTTTCCAGGATGTAAGAAACATACAATTGTTTATTCTTAGGACAAAAGTATGCAAAGTAATAACATTTTTAACATATGAAATATTCTAAATAACAAAACCAAACCATAAGCCTTCTAGCAAATTTTGCACACAATGAATGCCCTTTTGCTACTCCTTCTCCAAAGGAAAATATAAACATCTTCAGAAACTAGTATTAAAACACTATCTAATTTGTACAGTGTTTAAAAAACAATATTCCAAAAAAACCACAACAATATTCCTAGGATCTACTTCTTCCTACTTATCCACTGCCCCTAAATTACTACTGCTGTTTTAACTTGTTTGCAGATTTTGCTTATACTTTATATTTCCATGTGCTCTTCATAAGAGCCTTGAAAAGTAGGCATAACAAGTGGTTTCATCTCCATGTTACAAATCATGAAAGGGAGGCTCAGGTTTTCCTAAACTGATGATCAAAGCGTAGCAGGGTCAGAAACTGGGTCTCCTGAGCCATCATTCTTTCGGAGACACTACATTCTCTCACTGGAGTAGAAGAGCATAAAACTAAAAGCTGGTTCTATAAATCCTGGACCAGAGAAACTAAGCATACTCCTTCAATGTTCTATGACTTCCATGTTCGCCTATTGTTAAACACAGGAGATTGTACTTGAAGTTTTGGCACTACTCCTAGTGCCAGGAAAGAATACAGGGCTTGATTGACAATGGTGGCTTTTCAAATGCTGAATGGCCAGATCTGCATAATACCACTAGATGTGATCAAGGATAAAAAAAACTTTGGGTATACACTCCCTCACTCAATTTTAAGATCCGTGAGGGCAGGGACCATGTTTATCCACCAATGATACCCCAGTTATCTGGGAAAAGGGAGGGCTCAAAAACATCTGGAGAATTAATAAAACAAAAGTGATATTAGAATTTGCAGCTCAATTGTCTCATCTTTCCTAAAAATGCCTCTGCTACCTGGTATAAAATATGGGTTATTACAGTGATGGTAACAATCAGCTGAACTAGCAGGGACTTGCAAACTGCACTCAGTGTAGAAGGTGGGGGTTAAAAAACCTAATCAATTTTTTGTTAACATAACTCTTTTGAGAACTGGACTTGAAAAACCACAATGCTTATTCCCCATGACAATGGCATAAATAAGCAATTTCATAAAATTCCTCAAGATAGTCTTCTCCTTGCTCCCAAGAAGCTGAAGATGGCACAGCTACTGTCAGAAAAATATGATAGTTTCTATTTCCAACAGTCTAATAGGAAAATGAGTAATATTGTGTACCTCTCAAATACTACTAAATAAAGACTACTAATGGTACTGAGGTATAGGAGGGACATGGGGCAAGTGTCATGCTATTATAAAGTTTACTTAGCCTGCCAAGGCCAGGTTATCCTTTAACATGTTTTTCCTTCTCATGTTTCCCTTCTTCCAGTCACATTAATCAATTAAGTAATGTCTGTTCAAGACAAGAAACAAACTTCCAAGGAACAGACTCTGGAGCATAACAAACCACCAGAAAATGGTCAACCTTCATGCATGAAGACAGCCAGGATGCCAATCAACACAGCTACCTAGACAACCCTATTCTTAAGACAAAGACCTACATATGTCATGCCTTTTACCAACTCCAACCCAAAAGACTCCATAAAAAACCTCAAACCTAAACCCTTAAGTTTGCCTCTTCTCTCTCTGAGGTCACTTGCACTCCTCTGCGTGTGTACTGTCACTTTAAATAAAATCTTCTTACTTTCCTTTTGAAGAAAACCTGTTTGGCATCTCTTCTCTGAGGTTGCCCACACTCCCCCTCTTCAAGCGTGTACTTTACTTTAAATAAACCTTTATACTGCTTAGCTTATTGCACTTTGTCTCTAAAGTTTTTCAAGCCAGCTAGGTTAAAGTGACCCCTTTCCATCACCTGTGGTAAGTGTTTGGTCACTCTGCTATTTTATTCAACTTCCCAGTCTTAAACACAAGCTTTTTTTCTCTCCCTGCTTTATTTCAGTAAGTAGGGAAGTGGCAACAGGTACCTCTGATTATGAGGCTGGCATGTTCCCATTGCCTGGGTGACCAGAATGGGGCTGCAGCCGTATGATCACGTTTTTTTAGCAACTTGCCCAAATGTCTCCTCCTCTTTGTTTTGGAAAGTTCCAAGACCATAACCTCATTCCATCCAGAGCTCCAAGGCACCCCAGTTCTGGGACGGTAGGAATATAATTCCCATGCCATGCAGATCCAAGCAGACATTTGACACCAGGTGACCCTGGGTTGACAAGGGATCTGCCTTATGCTGAGCAGGAGTTTACTGAACTTTCCTTTTCTCTCCTCTGTTCCTTCTTGCTTTCCATTGCCTGCACGGCTGCACAAATAGAAGGACCACTGTTCGTGGAACTATACAACCTTGACTCTTGTTACTACTTTCACTTTAATAAATTTCTTCTTGTTTGCACTTGTTAGACCTGTTTGTGAATTATTTCTCCATCAGAGTTAAGGACCCTCTGCCAGGTTGAGGTCTCACCATGTTCGCAGGTAGACCTCCAATATGGGACTGCCTGACTTAGAAGTTAATGAAAATTAATGGCTGTTTATCTTTACTATGTTGAACACTTTATGTGCATTACCCCCATTTAATCCTCAAAGCAACCCCAGGAGATAGCAGTAGTTTCCCTTTTGCTGATAAGGAAATTAAGACCAACAAGTTAAATACCTTCCCCAAGTTACAGAGGCAGTAAGTAGAAGAACAGGAATTTGTATCCTGGTCTACCTAATTCCTTGTCTCATTCTCTTAGCAATCTCACTATATTGCTTTCTCACCTTTTAAAATTGTTCATACTGAATGTCAGTTAGACTCAAATTTAACTTTTCTCCATGAACAACAGGAAATCTGTTTCCCCAACATGACAAGATCTGGCTTGGTGATTCCTAAAAGATTTCAGTATATATAAGGGACCAGTAGGCCAGAAGGTTGTCACATGAGCTTGATAAATTACAGCACACATACTTTAAGGAACGCTTGTCATATTATGTACCTAGTTCTGAAAAAAATCCAGTGACCAAGTTCTATCATCTTTTCAATTCATTACTACCTAAGTTATCTGAATCAACAGGTTACCTTTTAAATACCAAAATTCACAAACTATTTTTGTTAGAAATACTTTACAGAACTAAGTTTTCCTTCTTGATAACCTTACTGACCACTATCTTAACAATGAACACAGGGTTTAATAGGTGGTACTGGCTGTCTATTCATTAAATAGCCTTATCAAGCTCGGCATATTGTATTTTTACTTCTTTCTCTTTCTCCCCCCACACCCCTCCACCACTTCTTCCCCCTATTTTTTGTCCCCTATGGGCTGTTCTACTTTGGGAAGTTATACAATCTCTTTCATTTGTAAAATGAGGATGCTCCTACTGACTCAAAAAGTTGCTTTGAGGGTTAAATGAGGTAGTGCACATGATGGGTTTAACATAATATTTGGTATATATTATGTTTTAGGTTTGTGACCTTCCTCAAGATTGCAAGTGCTATAAAAAATCTGACCCTTACATAAATGGAATTACAGATGAGAATACATCTGCCTTGCTTTGAAATTTACAAAATACTATAAATATAAAAGAACAGTAACAATAATGGTAGGTTACTGTAACAGATATTTTAATTTGGAAGGTTTTTAAATGTCCAGGTAAAACTTTTTAATAGCAAACAATAGACAATTTAGCAAACCTACAGCAACCAGATTGATGGCTGGAGAATCAAGTCAAGAGACCTGGACTCAGAAACACCCTATCGGTGTCCACTAGACACATTAGTCGTGCTGACAATTCCTTTCTTTGAGGTGGCCAAATAAAAATTCATTTAAAAATGCTAATAGGAACATGATGATTTGATTAATTGACTTTTCCAATTCACTCATTTATAGATACATGAGAGGCAGGAACTATCTTTATTTAAAAAAATCTGGGGAGGTAGATAAGGAGGGTATATTCCATTGTGCTTACTGGTGTCAATTGTGTATTTCAAGAAATAACAATCCCAAAGCCTACCACCAAAAATGTCAGTATTGATACTTTTTCTTAGTGTCAGGTTTATAAAAGTATAAGGTTGAAATTATTTGACAGTCTTAGTTATGCAGATTGATCACAGAAGAAAAAACAAAATTTTGTTTCTCAAAATTAATTATGTGAGAATAAAATATTCAGAATTCCATAAGAATAAAATCTAATGATAAATGTATACATTTTAGGATTGTCTTTTTAAAAATAGAGTAGATTATTTGTTAAAATATTTAAGGACAAATACTAACAGGAAGATGATGATTTGATTAACTGACCATGCATCTCTTAAGCTAACAGAATAAACCAAGATTATTCTGATATGGAGGTCTGCGGTTTAAGTGCTTAGGCTTTGGAGAAGGAATACCATTATACAATAACCACCTACAAGGATAAATAACCAAGTTAAGATAAAATTAGTAAGTTTTAGCTCTTGGAAAATAACAGTATAAGCACAATTTTACTTATACCAAATAGTTACCATGTTTAGAATCCCACTCATCCACTGTAATTCCTATTCAAAGGAAGAAAATGAATTCTTAAATACCAGGGCACTTGAGGCATCACAGTCTGTGAGGTGTATCTTACTTCCTTTGCAGATAAACTGAAGCCACTTTGAATTCTAGCTCTAGCACTCTGATCCTTGGAGAGTTATTTAATTTCTCTCAGCTTCAGTTTGTTCACTTAGAAAATAGGACCAATAATACCTGTCTTCTAATATTGTCATGAGAGTTAAAATGACATATAGCAAGCTCTTAATATAAGGTATCTATTAGTATCATTGTAATTAGAATCTAAGAAGTCATAGGTAATAGATGAGTCAAGATTCAAACTCCCTTTTTTGACTGTAAAGCAGTGCTGTCTAGTAGAACTTTCTGAATGACAGAAATGCCGTATGTGCTACTGAGCACCTGAGATGTGACTAGTGGAACTGAGGAATGGAATTTCTAATTTAATTAACTGAAATTTGAAGAGTCATACAGGACTGGTACTACTGGTACTTAAAGCTCAGGCTAAAGCCTATGTTTGTTTTTCATTAGTGCACACTGCTTCATTAAGGTATGTAAACTTTCTTTCCTGGCTCCCGGTCCTCCCTTCCCCTCCCCACCCCCCAATTTTAAGACATGTAGGTGGCTGTGATATGGAGGTCTGCGGTTTAAGTGCTTAGGCTTTGGAGAAGGAATACCATTATACAATACAATTACCAAGTTTGGTATTAACTGTTCGGAAATAGGTTTTTTAATTCTATAAATTTCATTGTATTTCTATAATGTATTTATCTGGGGAAAGATGCAAGTTCTTTAATTACACATCTCATCTAAGATGCTTAAGGTATTTCTCATGCATATGTTAAATACACACAAATTATTATTAAACTTCTATCCTAAGTACCTTTACACATATGGTAGATGGACCTTTATGTAATGAATAGCTGAAAAGTAAGTGTGGATAAAATTTGTGTAAAATTATACATAAAGCCATAACATGGAGTCTTCTTGACCGCTATCAGAAACAAGAAATGTGGAGTTTTAAAATCAAAACCTACTGCAGAGAATAGCACAGAATTTGCTAGCTTAAGAAACAGGTTTTCTTACAGTCACTGAAGCTTGATTTCACAAACATAAAAGCTTCTCCTGCTGATACTAAAATTGACCAGAAATAACAGTCAAAAGTCAAATACCTTAACAAACTATAGAAAATCTATTGAATTACCAACCCATAGGAAAACCAATGCATTACGCAGTGTGCCTCAAGTCTGTACACATACGCTTAAGAAAAAAGTCTGAATAGTAAGAATATGTACAAGTATCCCAGTTTGGGAATTACTAATCTAGGGAACCATGTCTTATTCTAAGAAAATGTCTTTCAGTTGCAGGCTATTACTGTAAAAGACCTTTGGCCTTTAACTGGTAAAATAAACATATTTTCACTGTTACTTGAGTGAACCCAGAACACCTAAGAATTTTTATTTTAAAACCATGAGCCCTGAGAATTTCTCTGAGTGGACCTCCCAGTCTTCAGGTTGAGAAGTGCTGCTGTACCAGACATACCAGGAACCATTAACTGCAGAGAGTACTGGTTACCAATGGGCTGTATTTCCAAGTGACCAACACCTACATCAGCTCCAGGGAAACTTTGCTCTTTTCTTACAAACTATATGGTATAGACACACCAACATAAAAGCAGCCCATTAAAATATGACAGGATCTCAGTGTTAGTAACCTCATCTTAAATAATAGGAAAATATATATGCTTACCTTGCTCTTTGACATAGAAATTGAAGATTCATCTTTATTTTGAGAAATGTCTTCTTTTCCTCTTTCAAAACCTTTAAGAAACATTTCATTATCTTAGTATTATGACTTCAGAGATATACAGGCCATTAAAATCAAACGCATATAAGCATTAAATTTCAAATATTTTGTGTACATCAGTGCAAGAAGTCTGGACTGAACACACAGTTTTAAAATATTAGGGGTGATATTTACTATAATAATTGTTGAGACTAAATTAAGGCTTATAGAGGCAACTAGGACTTTCCCTGAAGCCATCAACAGGAACCTAAATACTTCTCTATGCTCTCAGAGCACTCTGTATGAATTCAGGCCTCATGGAGCTTTTACTCTAGTCAGCTGTTTTCTAACAAAGAATGCTGATAGACCAACCCAACATACGTTCACACCTCTTGCCAGACTAGAAAAGGATTCCAGAATTGGTGGTAAAAGATGACTAGAGAAACAAATCTGGGCTGAGAGACTTAAAAGAAACCTAATAACGTGCTTATTATGAGAATTAACGGGGACACACAGAAAGCACTTAGCACAGTATTAATGTTGACCCTGAATATTATCATTGCCAATGACTGTTGCTATAGAAATTCTAAAAGTTTGAAACTAAAATACATGAGTGCCTGAGAAGCATGCACACATCCCTGTAATCTTATAACACAATAATATAACACCTGGCCAAAAACAATTCAAATTAATGTTGAAATGGGAACACGAGAGGATTAAAGATGGCGGCATGAGAGGTGAGACAGAGGCTTCCTCCTAAATCCGCATATAATATGAAAATATAATTAATACTACTAATCCTGACAGAGCAACAGGAAAGAGGCCTGTGCCAGACTGCATACACCTGGAGAAATGAGCAGACCTCACAGAACAGAGTCACGTACCAAAACTGTGTCCCAGCAGGACCCAAGCCCTTCCCCCACCCAAGCTCACTGGTGGGAGGAAGAGAAACTGAGCAAGGAGGGAGTGGAGGCCAAGGACTGCTTAATACCTAACTCCAGAGATCTGCTCTGGGAGCACAAACCTACACTCCATGGTGCTTTCATGATACTCTCTTCATTACGGGGCTGGAAACCTAAGACAGGCAGAATTCCTGGAGAGACTAAGATCCCAGCCGCTTGTGGAAAACATGGATCCATATCCGGCTGCTCTGGGACAAAAGCTTATACCTGTGTGCTGAGCCCAATGGTTCAGGCAGTGGAGACAGGCACAGCAGCCGGGAAGCAGGAAACAGCTCTTTCCTCCCCCCAGGCACCAATCCCACTCCCTGCAACCCCCGACATTGCTTCAGGGGCTGAGCAGCTCCAGAGAGTCGAGCTTCTGGACACCAGAGCGCACCATACAAAAATATGAAACGCAAAAGGAACCTGGTACAGAGTAAAATTAATATAATCCCTGACAAAGATGACATGGACCTCATGACTCTTCATGAAAGGGAGTTCAAAATAAAAATCATTAACATGCTCATGGAGGTACAGAAAGATATACAAGAACTCAGGAATGAATTCAGGTCAGAGATCCAATTGCTGAAGAGCACAGTGGAGGGTATTAAAAGCAGATTGGATACGGTGGAGGACACAATAAATGAAATAGAAACTAGAGAAGTGAAATACAAAGAAGCTGAGGCACAGAGAGAAAAAAGGATGTCTAAGAATGAAAGAATATTGAGAGAACTGTGTGACCAATCTAAACAGAACAATAGTCACATTATAGGGGTACCAGAAGAAGAAGAGAGAAAAAGGGATAAAGAGTGTCTCTGAGGAGGTAATTGCTGAAAACATCCCCAATCTGGGGAAGGAGATAGTCTCTCAGGCCATGGAGATCCACAGATCTCCCAACACAAGGGACCAAAAGAAGACAACACCAAGACACATAGTAAATAGAATGGCGAAGATCAAGGAAAAGGACAGACTGTTAAAAGCAGCCAGAGAGAAATAAGATCACATACAAAGAAAAGCTCATCAGGCTAACATCAGACTTCTCCACAGAAACCTTACAGGCCAGAAGGGAGTGGCATAATGTATTTAATGCAATGAAGCAGAAGGGCCTGGAACCAAGATTACTTTATCTGGCAAGATTATCATTTAAATTTGAAGGAGGGATTTAATAATTTCCAGATAAGCAAAAGCTGAGAGAATTTACCTCCCACAAACCATCTCTACTGTCTATTTTGGAGGGACTGCTATAGATGGAAGTGTTCCTAAAGTATAACAGCTGTCACCAGAGGTGTCAAAACCACAGTAAAGAAAGT